TAGAAGCGGATTGCCTTCCATACACAGCTGCACTAGTTTTAGTAAATCCACCCATGTGTAAAATAATTACCATGTTTTTGTTTTCATAAAATATATAGCTCTTGCTTTTTTTTTTCATCCTTCTCTGTGATGCTGATTTCCTGCAGCCTCTTTATGGTCATTTCTCTGCATGCACTTGGTCCAGCGTTGGCTATACACTATTGCTCAGGACTTGCTTCCTGATGTTGACAATGGGTGGACCATGCCTTCGTTGGCATGGTCGCTTGTAGCAAGCACCATTTATGCATGTGATTGGTTGACAATGTAGTAACACAACTGAGAGAAATTTGTTCTATCATATTAGGATGTGCCTGAACAAGGACCTTCAGGGCAGGATCAACAGGTATTATTTAAAGCTGCAGATTTAAAAAGAAAACAATGTGCAATATGCTAAATCTATGAAATTGAAGTAATTGGGTTTACATATACTGTACTTTAAGTCTCATAGTAAAAAAAAGAGAATCAACGTGCCTATGCCTCCTAGGTCTTATATGGCATTCTAAGGCCTCATCAACAAAGGGCATTTTTTTGGAGCGTCAAATTTTTGGGGGGCTTTTTTTATTTTTTTTTTACTGCTTCTTAACAGCCCTCTATCTTAACGTATGTGTCCATGCACACAGACGTTTTAGAAGCTTTTAGTAGCAGCAGCATTTACCAGCAGGGAAAAAAAAACCCCAGTGCGTCCAGGAGCAGCAACATTTAGGCAGAAGTGCTTGAGCATTAATTCATTTCAATGGCTAGAATAAATGATCATTCTGGTCAATGAAATGAATTAAAACCCAAGCACTTGACGCTTGTAAACACGCCTAAACATTTGTAAAAACATTAGATACTTTTACAAGTGTCAGGTATCTTTTCTGCAAAAACGCTGCTGCCAGAGGACAGCTTCTAGGAGAGTTGTTTTTTTTTAAACATCCTGTGTGCATAAGGCCTAATGCAGGCCATAGACAAGGAGAGAACCGGCCGTTTATTTTTTTAGAAAAACAAAAAAAATCGGTCGTTCAAGCAGCTGACGTTACCACCATTGGTATAAAAAATTCGGCTAATTTTGGTCCCGTCTACGGCCGGCATTTAATATAATAGCAGTGTCCCTGCAGAGAGCTCCGCTATATTTGACATTTAAAAGAAGAGGAAATAGAATATGAATAATAAAAAGTTGCAACATTGTATCTATTTGTATCCATTTTGGACACAGATGTTTCTATTCGGATACAAATAGATACAATGTTGCAACCCTTATACTTTTAAATGTCAAATATCATAGCGGAGCTCTCTACAGGGACACCGCTAATAGATTTGACATAAGTATTGCGGTTGCAAACACTGTATGGATACAAATAGATACAGATGTTCTTTCTCTTTGGTCACGGCTCATGCATATTTTTTTAACTGGGAAAAAGATCGTCCGATTTGCCCATCATTGCCGTGAAAATCGGCCGATGGTCAAGATCGGCCGTTTTTTTCCCCCAACATAAACGATTAAAAAAATGTGTCAAATTCAAGAAAACCGGCCGACCAATTCAGCCACTAACGATCCGAAAATCATTTGATTATTTTTTTGGACAAATTGTTGGCCGGTTTTCTCCCCGTCTATGGCCTGCATAAGAGAGGTAAAGTAAACAAAACTCAGCATAGCTATGAACGCTAACTCCAGATAGCCTCCTTTAGTACTATTCTGTGGTTTTTAATGTCCAGCTATCCTAGGAGGCAGTGATAAAGCACGGTGACATAGTTAGGTCCATATAAATTTGAACACAGGCACATTTTCATACTTTTGGCTCTGTATGCCACCAGAATAAATTAAAATGAAACAATCCAAATTAATTTGAAGTGCAGACTTTCAGCTTTAATTCAAGAGGTTGAACCTAGATATCAAGTACAAATTTTAGGAACTGCAACCATTTTTATACACAGTCCCTCCATTTTCAGGAGATCAAATGTAATTTAACAAATTAATATAAATCAATAAAATGTTAATTTTTAATATTTTGTTGTGAATTCTTTACTGGCAATGACTGCCTGAAGTCTGGAACCCATAGACATTACCAAAGACTGGGTTTCCTCCTTTCTGATGCTTTGTCAGGCTCTAAATGCAGCTGCCTTCAGTTGTTCTGTGTTTGTGGGTCTTTCTGCCTTTAGTTTTGCCTTCAGCAAGTGAAATGTAAGCTCAATTGGGTTGAGATTGGGTGATTGACTTGGCCATTGCAGAATATTCCACTTCTTTTCCTTCAAAAGGTCCTGGGTTGCTTTTGCAGTGTGTTGTGGATCATTGTCCATCTGTACTATGAAGCACCATCCAATGAACTTTGCTACATGTGGCTGAATGTAGATCTCTCAACACTGCAGAATTCATCCAGCTGCTTCTGTCACATCTTTTGTGACATCATTTTTTTGGCAAAGTCTAATCTGGCTTTTCTATTCTTCAGGCTTACGAATGGCTTCCTGCTTGTGGTGAACCCTCTGTATTTGCTCTCATGAAGACTTCTCTTGCTTGTAGACTTTGACAAGGATACACCCACCTCCTGCAGAGTGTCCTTCACTTGTCTGGATGTTGTGAATGGGTTTTTCTTTACAATAGAGAGGTTCCTGCAATCATCCACCACTGTTGTCTTCCATGGACATCTATGCCTGTTTATGTTGCTGAGCTCACCAGTGCGTTCTTCTTCCCTCAGAATGTACCAAACTGTTGATATGGCCACTCCTAATCTTGCTGCTATCTCTCTGATGAATTTATTTGGTTTTTGAAGCCTTGCAATGGCCTGTTTCACTTGCATGGACAGCTCCTTTGAATGAATGATGTAGGTTCATAGCAATAGATTTCAAATGCCACACTTAGAATCAACTCCAGACCTTTTACCCGCTTAACTGATGAAGAAATAACAAAGGAGTAGCCCACACCTGGCCATGAAACAGCTTTTGATTCAATTGTCCAATTACTTTTGGTCCCTTGAAAAAAGGGGGGGGATGGATACTCTTAAGAGCTATAATTCCTAAACCCTTACTCCAATTTAGATGTACATACCCTCAATTTAAACCCGAGAGTGTGCACTTTCAGCCCATATCCATTATATAACTATAGCTTGAATATGTTTTGGAAAATACCTGAAAAAAAAAACCTAAAATGTGCCTGTGTCCAAATATATATGGACCAAACTAAGTATTGAGTACATTAGTAATATTAGCCTTTTTGAGAAATCTTCCCCTCTACTTATTTATTATTTATACAGCTACAGTAATTTTGTTTAAGTGACAGGGGGTTTGTGGACCATCCATTTTTCATGGAATGTCCACTTTAAATGGGACGCAAGTACAGCATTGTAAAAATGTATACATTTACATGCAATAATTAAGAATCATGTTCCAGACCAACCTTTTTTCATACACCTAAATCTCCTAGATTGTAAGCTCGAAAGAGCAGGGCCCTTAACCCCCTCATGTGTGTTACTGTATTGTCTCATGTTCTGTCCCCCACTATAATGTACAGTGCTGAGCAAATCTTTTAGTGCTATATGTGGATGTTGTGAATGGGTTTTTCTTTACAATAGAGAGGTTCCTGCGATCATCCACTACTGTCGTCTTCCATGGACATCTATGCCTCTTTATGTTGCTGAGCTCACCAGTGCGTTCTTCTTCCCTCACCCTGGACTCAAACCTTTCCTTCCAACCTCATGTCCAATCACTATCAAAGTCATGCAGGCTCCAAGATACGTACATTCCTCACCCCAGACACTACTAAACAACTCGTACACTCCCTCATTATCTCACACCTGGACTATGGTAACTCCCTTCTCACTGGCCTACCCACACAAAGGCTATCCCCACTCCAGTCTATCCTGAACTCAGCAGCTAGACTCATCCACCTCACCAACCGCTCCACTTCTGCCACCCCCCTCTGCCAATCCCTTCACTGTCTCCCGATTGCCCAACGCATTAACTTTAAGCTACTAACTGACATACAAAGCCATTCACAACGCTGCCCCAAACTACCTAACCGACCTGATACCCAAATACCACCCTACCCGTGCCCTTCGCTCCTCACAGGACCTCCTACTCTCCAGCTCCCTGGTCTCCTCCTCCCACGCCCGACTGCAGGATTTCCCCCATCCTCTGGAACTCCCTACCCCAATCCATCAGACTATAACCTACCCTCCCCACCTTCAGGTGCACCCTGAAAACCCACCTCTTCAGGGAAGCCTACCCCACCCTCACCTAACAACCGATCTCCTCCACTCCTCCTACCACTCCCATCCCCCACAGCCACTTCCTCCTGTACCACTATCCCCTCCCTCCTAGATTGTAAGCTCGAAAGAGCAGGGCCCTCGAACCCCTCGTGTATTGTACTGTTTTGTCTCATGTTCTGTCCCCCCCTCTATTGTACAGCGCTGAGCAAACCCTTTTGGCGCTATATAAAAATACTGTATAATAATATACAGGAGTTAAAGAAAAAAAAATGGAAACATTACATGACGGACAGGTGTGAAAGTGATGACATGTTTCGTGTTGAAGACATTACTTCTGTAACATTCTTTTGCTGCCGCTGCGGGATGAGATACCTAGCTAACAGGTGGGAAGCCTCACTTTCATCATTCACTGCATGTGCTGCTAGTAATGTGAGGCTTAGCACCTGTTAGCTAGGTATCTTATCACACAATGGAAGCAAAAGAATGTTACATATCACTTCAGCTTTAAACAAAAAACATGTCCCTTTCACACCCGCAAATCATTTAGTATTTCCATTTTTTTGTCTAACCCCTGTATATAGTATGCAATTTGAAATGCATAAAAATATAGTAGTCATTTTCCAAAAAAAAAATGAAAAAAAAAACCCACAGTGTTTATTTTACAAACAGTAAATTTCCTAGGTTTACAAGATAATCTCAGTCAGTATTATACCAAAGATACTGCCAGTAATTGTGAGCAACACTGGTACAAGGACACTGTTTTTAGAAAAACAAAAAAGATTAAAGTTCTTCTTTCTGTTTAGATATTGAAGCTTGTTCCTCAATAAATGTAGACAATCCTTCCAGGTCTCTACTTCCACTTTGGAATTTAATTGGATTGAGTTTATTGTTCTTTGGAGCAAAATATAGAGTAGGAAAACCTTCAACTTTGTATTTGTCGTTGGGAATGTCATTGGCAGTAGCATCCATCTTGGCTATAACAATATTTTGCACCGATCTGTATTTTTTACCCAGGTCATTATAAACTGGTTCCAGTGTTGATTTGCAGTGTCCACACCATGGGGCATAAAACTCTATGAGAACATCAGTTTTTGCATCCATGACAATTTCATCAAATGTTTTTCCAACCACAATTTTGACAGGGCCTTTATTGTTCTTTGGTATGGGCTGCGATTTTAGAACTGGAGTGAGTTTGCCTACAGAAAAAAAATTAAATATATGTAAAATATAAAAAACTTGCAAATAGTTATACAAGGCAAAGCAATAAAAAAGCCAATAAAATGTTTCATTTTACATGGGAGAAAAAAAAAAAAAAAAAAAAAAAAAAAAAAGAAGATGGTCGTAGCACAAATGTTGAGGTTGAAAGTTGCATACCTCAGGTCAAAACTGCATTGTCTTATAGTTTTTTGCATGACAGATTTGTTGGAAAAAGTATAAAATAACTGGAAAATAGTAATAATTCAACAGTTAGAGAAAAAGTCAGCGCTAGAGAAATCAACCTAATGGCAGCTGGCATAAAAAAAGGTCACTATATAAACCTCCAGTCAAATCTATATAGAATATTCCACATCCAAATGTGTATAGCACAATCTTCACCAAACTCTTCTCTATAAAATATCCCAAAAATAGAAAAGTCACACTTTCACCCTTGAAAGTTCAATACCATAAACCTTTTCTGAAATCCCTCTAAACCCCAAAACATCCTAATAATAGTCCACACTGTAAATATTGTCCAAAAAATATAATAATAATGTCCAACATCTAATAAATCTTCAAATATAGTATCCGATTCAATTTACCAATCCAGAATACCTCAAAAAATATAAAACTAAATATAGTGTATTACCTTTATAAATCTCCAAATGTATTTAAATCTGTGATTCATGCATATAATACGATATTTTCAGTGAAAAAAAAAAAAAAAAAAAATCCTATATAAATGAAATAAATTCAAAAGAAATTCCACACAGCACTCTGAGTTCAACACATCAAAAAGTGAACGACAGCACTTCAAAATAAAGTGAACACTCCATGACACCTCACACTAGCGAGATTATAATATCCTCTTGAAATCACAGCAAATCTAACACTAAGTGCATTGTACATGTTCACTAGCAACACAAGTGAAGAAAATATTCCGTGGTGCCACACAAAATAGTGGGATTCAAGGCAATTACCCTCTTGCAGGAAACCAGCACTTCAGGGTTTTTATTGTCAACTTCCACCCTGCGGGTATGCAGCTTTCAATTTTCCCAATTCTTCATGAGGGTAAAGAAGAGGACCATCAGTGGAGTATAAAGGGTACCAAAAACTTTAATAATATCTTACATTATAAATCCGACAATCCGTCCATCTGTCCCAGCAGTTCTACCACTGAAACAACAGGACAACAACCCTAAACCCTAGGTTTAGGGTTGTTGTCCTGCTGGAAGGTGAACCTCCACCTCAGTCTCAAGTCTTTTACAGACTAACAGGTTTTCTTCTAAGATTGCCCTGTATTTGGCTCCATCTATGTACCCATCAACTCTGACCAGCTTACCTGTCCCTGCTGAAGAAAAGCATCCTCAACATGCTACCACCACCTTTTTTTTCATGGTGGGGATGGTGTGTTCAGTACCATGGGCCTCTTGACCGCTTCTCTGATTAATGCTCTCCTTGCCCAGCCTGTCAGTCTAGGTGGACAGCCATGTCCTTTTTTATTTTATTTTTTTTTTTTTAATTTAAATATTTATTGATTTTTCAAAATATTACAAAATTCCATCATAAACACATTTTAATATCTAAAACCATTCTACATTTTCCTCTCTACCCTCCCGTCTCCCCCCCACTTCCCCCAGCCCCACCAGCTTCTCCCCCACTCTTTTCCATTAAAAGCAAGAGAACCTTATCTATCATTCTAAGTTATAACTTCCTATATTTCACTTTCAATCCAGATTTTTCCCATCTCGCATAATACAGCCCCATCTTGTCTTCCTGCATATGATAGAGTGAATCAGATCAGTAAAATGGAAAAAAAAAAAACTTTATTAACCCAGTCTTCCTCCTTCGGCACCTCTGTTTTCCACCAAAACTTGGGTATCAAGCCTTTTGCAGCATTAAGATAGTACCATATACCTGATTCTTTGTATTTATTTACCGATAGCTCAATGCTATGTAAGAGACAAATCATTGGATCCAACCCTATGTCAATCCCAGTTATTATCTCAATCAGTTTAACTATTAACTTCCAAAAAAAAAAAAAAACTTGAATTTTCAGACATTCCCACCATATGTGAAACACTGTGCCAATCTCTCCGCATCCCCTCCAACACCACTTTGATTTCTCCAAACTCATCCTGTGCTCAACATTCGGTGTGATGTGCCATCTTGTCAAACACTTATAATTTATTTCCACCTCTCTCATACTTATATTCTCGTGAGTCAATCTATATATCTTTTTCTGTTTATCCTCGTCTAAGACCACCCCCATATCTCTTTCCCAGTTTGTTATATAAATTAACTTTGTATTCGTGTCTTAATTCAGTGAGTATTCTATATACTTTGGCAATACCGTGCTTCCCATCCTCTCGTGACTCAAACAACCTTTCAAACAAATTCCATACCTTTTTTAATCTCAAAGGTTTTGGGAGATTCCCAATAAAACATTTTAATTGACGATATCTCCACTCATCTATCCTAATGAAGATCTCTCCCTTTTTCTCTTCCAAGTCTATAAGTGATCCCAATTTCCCCCCTCCACCAATATATCTCTCAATTGAACATCTTCCTTTTTGAACCATTTCCCTGTGATCTCTTCTCTGCCCGGAGGGAAAACCTCCGTGTTTCCTAGTGGCATTAATATAGAATTGAAATCCCACTTCATATTTTTGTGCAAATTACACTTTAAATGTTTTAAAGGTTTGGGATAAAGACTTGTGCTACCTTTAAATTCCTCTATACTGTGCTGGCACCCATATAATCTTACTCAAACTAGTTCCACTAAGTTCAATCTCAATTTTCACCCAACTTTTCCCCTTTGAATTATATGTCCAATCACAGATTCTTGCTAGAATTACTGCTTTGTAATATCTTTTAACATCTGGCAATCCGAATCCCCCCCTTCTCTTTACTCCTGCTTAACGATTCATAGGTTATTCTTGTTTTTTTATTTCTCCCTATATATCTTGTTATTCTTTTCATTGTCCAAAAAAAAAAAAAAAAAAAAAAAAAAAAAAAAGCTTCTGGGAGTTTGATTGGAACCATTTGAAATCTATACAGTATTTTGGGTACAATTACCATTTGGACAGCCATGTCTTGGTAGGTTTGCAGTGACATACTCTTTCCATTTTCGGATGATGGATTGAACAGTGCTCCATGAGATGTTCAAAGCTTGGGATATTTTTCTATAAAACTTAACCCTGCTTTAAACTTCTCCACAACGTTATCCCTGACCTGTCTGGTGTGTTCCTTGGCCTTCATGATGCTGTTTGTTTACTAAATGTTCTCTAACAAACCTCTTCATAAAATTACACACAGGTGGACTCTATTTACTAATTAGGCGACTTCTGAAGGCAGTTGGCTTCCCTGGATTTTAGTTAGGGGTATCAAACTAAAAACGGGGCTGAATACAAATAAAATGCCACTTTTTCAAAATATTTTACAAATATCTGAAACCATTTTCCTTCCACTTCACAATTATGTGCCAATTGGTCTATCACATAAAATACAGTTATATTTTTGGTTGCAACATGACAAAAATGTGGAAAATTTCAAGGGGTATGAATACTTTTTCAAAAGGTACTGCAGTGTCCACTTAGCCAACACCACTATGCACTCCCCAGATATGTAGCTGCACGATGCAGCAAGCCACACATATATACAGTTGTGCTCAAACGTTCGCATACCCTGGCAGAAATCTTAGTTTGGCATGGATATTGAAAATATGACTGTTCACTCTCCTTTTTTAAAAAACAGTTTTTTGGCATGATCATATGAAGCGATTTATGATCACATAGTTTGGCTCCTTTTTAAAATCAGCATAACAAAATCACCCAAAATGTCCCTGATCAAGTTTACATACCCTGGAATGTTTGGCATTGGTACAGACACACAAGATGACAAACAGGTTAAAATGGCAATTAAGCACTTGAAGATTGCCCTACAGCAGTCTTGCTGGTCCATCTGTGCAAAATCACATATTTACATGATTTTGCGCTTCTGCCATAGGTGGAGCACATGTGCCGCTGGTGGTTTGCATCTCCTGTAAACACTCACAGCAATAGCTGATCTGCGAGTCCCAGTGAACAGATGTTCGCCAGCAGGACAATGAACAGAGCTCTGCCTATGTAAAACAAGACAGAGCTCTGTTCTGACAGGGCAGGAAGTGAAAGAAAGTGCCCCTGCAAAGCTGGGAACACCATCCTTCACTTGCCCTAGTACCAGCACCACCTACTGTACACCAAGCACATAGCTAGGCACACAGTTAACCCTTTGATCCCCCTAGATGTTAACCCCTTCCTAACCAGTGCCATTAGTACAGCACATATTTTTAGCACTGATCACTGTATTAGTGTCACTGGTGGTTTTCACAAAGCATTAATGTAACAATGTCTGTCACAATATCACAGTCCCGCTATAAGGTGCTGATCGCTGCCATTACTAGCAAAAAAAAAAAAAAAAAAATTCCAGTATACAGGGGGTAAAATAAATATTGAACACGTCACCATTTATCTCAGTAAATAGATTTCTAAAAGGTACTACTGACATGAAATTTTCACCACGTCAGTAACAACCCATGCAATCCATACATACAAAGAAACCAAAACAAATACGTTCAGAAATTAAGTTATGTGTAATAAAATGGAATGAAAAAAAAGGCATGGAAAGCCTAGACACCAGCAGAAATCTATCAGTAATTAGAAAGCAATCCTGCCACTAGTCAGTGCAAATTAATATTAGTTGGTTCAGTCTCAACTGATGGCCAAAAAAAAAAAAAAAAAAATGTGTCTTCTTACCAATGTGTCACACAAGAAACATCTCATGATGGGTAAAAGCAAAGAGCTCTCTCAAGACCTTCACTGCCTTTTTGTTGCTAAACATACTGATGGCATTGGTTACTGAAGGATTTCTAAAACTTGCGGATTATGGACCCAACAGTGCTTACTGGAACATTCAGAAGTGGAAAGAACATCATTTCACCATAAACTGGCCACAAACAGGTGCTCCTCGCAAGATTTCTGACAGGAGTGAAAAGAATTATCAGAAGAATTGTCCAAGAGTCAAGATCCACTTGTGGAGAGCTTCAGAAAGTCCTAGAATTAACAGGTACAATTGTTTTAAAGAAAACAATAAAATAATGCACTCAACCACCATGGCCTGTATGCACACTCACCGCGCAAGACTCAATTGCTGAATAAAAAACATGTTGAAGCTTGTTTAAAGTTTGCGGCACAACATTTAGACAAGCCTGTGAAATACTGGGAGAATATAGTCTGGTCAGATGAGACCAAAATTGAACTCTTTTGATGCCATAATACATACCTTGTTGGGATGATGTGTGTGGGGCTGCTTTTCAGCATACGGTACTGGCAAAATTCATTTCACTGAAGTAAGGATGAATGGAAATATGAAACGAGGGTGGACATTTCAGCAAGACAATCCGAAAAACACAAAGCCAAGGAAACTCTCAACTGGTTTTAAAGAAAGAAAAAAAAAAAAAGCTGCTAGAATGACCCAGCCAATTACCAGACTTAAATTCTTTCCATAGATTTTCTATTGGATTAAAGATCCGAGTTCATAGAAGAGGCCATGGAACCTTCAAAGATTTGGAGACTGTGTGGAAGAATGGGCCAGAAATCACACCTGAGCAATGCATGCGACTAGTTTCTCCATACAGGAAGCACCATGAAGCTGTCATTACCAATAAAGGATTTTGTACAAAGTACTAAATAAATTTCAATTAGCGCATTCAATACCATTTCACTGTGTCATTCCATTTTATTACACGTAACTTAATCTCTGAATGTATTTGTTTTGGTTCTTTGTATGTATGGATTGCATGGGTTGTAACCGACATGTGGTGAAAATTTCACGTCATCAGCACCTTTAGAAATAGATTTACTGAAAAAAAAAAATCATGACGTGTTCAATGCTTGTGTTACCTGCTGTATATAATGTTTAGAATGGGGGGGTGGGGTAAAGTAATCATCAGGTCTGAATCTTTTCAGGAATACTCCATTTGTCATAAATTGCCCATCCTATTTGTTTATGAATGGGGTATGCCTTTTTAGACTTTCCATTTTAACTTCTACTTGAGCCTCCTCCATCTCACCATGCACATCTATGCCAAGTCAAGGCTTTTGCAAACAGAAGTGAGCATGTCTAAGTTAGCAAGCATTTTGGAGCGAAGCCACGGTATCAGGTTTATAACAGCTTAGGGGCAAAGAGTCTTACATCACTTCCCCTAGCACTGACTCTAGGTCCTCTTCAATCTCCTCTATTACGAACCACTCTACCTGAGTCGGAAGTGAATCTACCTGCTCTAGAGAAGGAGGGGGATGGGGAAGGAGCATGGCACGTTTGAGTTCTGGACAGGAAATTCCATTAACAGTCAGGGAAATTTTCTCTACAACTGTCAGATTTTCTCATCCTCAGATAGACCTCTGGTTGTGTGCCCGAGAGAGAACTAGAATGATATGCAGACACCGGTGTTATAATAGGGTTCTGCTCTAGTGGAAGGGGAACATCATCACTCTAATCGGTTTGAGTGTTTTGCAATCCTCTGGCACAGAGCATGCTTGAACCTTTGCCGTAGTGCCCTTGCGCCTGGTTTCCACCATTGCCATCAGTGAGGCATTACACTGTAAGGTACTCACCAAGTAAGGTGCAAAAATAGGGTAATTGTGTCTGGAGAAGGATACATAGAAACCCAGGTGTTGACCGCCCTATAGCGGAGAATATGTGGCAAAAGGGTGTCTGAGTACCTTGTAAGGATAAGGGTACTAAGACACTCCCAGCTGAAAAGGTTTGCCTCCACCATCACAGGAGTGCTGTCTTTTCTGTTGCAGCATTGCTGAGCTCAGAGAGATATTGCAATGGGGAACAAAAAGTTCATGCAAATTGATTTGAATTGGAGAAAGAGCTTGCTCCTCAGATAGTGGGGTGAGCATTAAAGGCTGGGAGTGTCTTAGTAATGTCCTAGCAATGAGGAAGGGGGGGGGGGGCTGCCATCTCAGGGAGGTTTTTTTTTGGCCAGGCTGCAGGAGGTATGTAAATGGCCTACACTTATAGAAAGGTAATTATTCAACTTTGGTCGAAGCTGCACAGTTTGTTCTTTATCTAGAGATGCCCCTTACCAACATAAGCAGTTCTTTTTGTAAAAAAGAGAAAAAAAAAGAGGAGAACTCTCTAGGAATACAGTTCTAAACATCCTACACTGTTTATAGTGGATTATATTTCAATCTGACCAACTATGTAATTGTTCTGGGAGAAATTCTCCATGATTGCATTGCAGAAGTTTACATAAATGTTCATTGGCAATGCAGCAATTGTGGAGACCATGTTAGCAGTCTGTTCAAATCCTGGTTCTAATAAAGTTTTGTTGAGTTTAACAGCGAGTAGGAGAATGCTTGTAATCCTAGAACAAAGGAACAGCACAGAGAATTTCCACTTTGTCATAGGGAGCAAAGAGGAAGATGCCTCCTCCATGGTGAGAATGTTATATATAATTTCTACAATGTGTTCTTTTAGGAATACATAGACAAAGACAATATATATTTGATAAAATACAAATATTTTCTAAACCACACTATGTGAAGGGAAATTAATACAGTGCTGGAACTACATTTGTCAGATGATCAAAATGCACCACTCAACATGTGGCAGTTGTCACTGTTGAGTTACTTGAAGTCTAAAGAGGATGCACATGTGCATCTTGCCTACTACAGCAAATACTTTTCATAAATATAGACTGCATAAAGAAAATTACTAGTTGCTGAAAAAAAATGCATTTTAAAAGCTTACCTTTCTTAAAAGCCATTACAAAGTCCTTAAGGGAATCCGAATCCAATTCTTCAGGGTATTTTGCATATTTTTTTACCATGTGTGTCTAGAACAGCTACATTCACTTCTTCCCCACTTTCACTTAATCCAAGGTCTTTTAATTCAGAAGCATAATCATCCTCATTAGCAATAGCAAAGGTGTACTCTGGAAAATCTTTTGCAACATCCAAGACCTTATTTCTCCAGTACTGGGTTGCTGAAAATTAAGATACAGTAATATTAAAGCAAAAACTGTGCTCTTTGACAACATGGTCCCCCTTCACCCCAACCAAAGCCAAGGCTGATTATGAAGCCCTGGCTTATTTCCATTTCCAAATTCAAGTTAAGGCAGTATTACACTCAAAAGGTAGGAATTTTGACTTCCCGGTAAATTGCATATCATGGAGTACAGGGCACAGTAATTGATTTTTAGACCATAGGTTATAAGCCGCTACCAGTCGGTGACTGGACACTGGCAAATGTCTTACTGGAAATCAACCCCAGTGATTGTACCCATATAACCCCACCCATTTGTGTGAGGCTCCAGTTTTTTTTTTTTTTTAATCAAGCAGTAAGGAAATCACAGAGAAAGGAGGGAGGGACTGGTGTCCTGTACTCCATATTTTTCCAGCCCAGTTTGTCACAGTCTGGGCTACTGAGAAGATGGCAATAGTGGGTTGCAGGACAGGACCTGCTCAGGCAAAATAGAACTTCAAAAGCCCATCAAATGAATCTGTAAAAAAGGAGGTAACACCCCCAACAGAAACAATTTTATTTTTGTGAAAGAATGGACAGAACCACAGAGGGAACGGTTGTTTTTAAAAACTTCCCTTCCTATAGGGTACAAGCCATCAAAAAATTGTCAGGAGGAGGAATAAACGCTCTCAGTTGGGCCAAGTATATAAAGCCTTAGCCACTCAATCAAGAATAGAGAGTCTTTTGGAAAGCCTTCTGTTCATCCCACATATATTCCAAGCATGAAAAGAACTAGCTGAATCTAACCAGAAAGTAGAATGCACAGATTCAACCAACGAAAATACGCTAACCAGTAAGTGTAGAGAAGCAGAAGATAATCACAGGGAGGAGAGGCAGAAGAGAATTTACAGGTGTTGGTATCTACCAATTCCAGAAGCGTCCATTGGCTTTGGAATAAATCAGCCTTAGTGGCAAAGAATTCTGCTTTAGTCAGCCAGGCCACATATTGGAAGTCTGTATGGCAGCCCAATTTAGGGGGCTGGAGCAGAACAAGGGAATAAGGGAAAACAGCTATCAACCCGAGAGGAACTTAGGAGTATCCTCAAAGTCTGCAGAAAAATCCCATGTGCTTCCACTCCTCACTGAGGGGGGTTCAGCATGTCTATTAAAAACACAATAACCAAGGCTGTGTCTCTGAGGTATCAGGCAACAGTTGAGATAGCAAGCGATCAGCTTGCTCCATCTGCAGAAATGGCAGCCATAAATGCACAGTTAGGAGTCTTATGAGCACTATAGTAGGTCACTAGCCAGAGAAGTTCTCCGATATCAAGGTGGAAGAAAAGACAATAACAATTTTAATGGGCATACTCTACATAATCGTTACTCATAAGGCCAAGGAGCAAGACAATAATAGGGTAAAAAAACGGTCAAATGTGTGGATCACCCCATAACCTATGCCCTTTAAAACTGCTTGAGTGCTTAGCACTGCAGTGTGTCTTGTAGAATAAAATCACACTGTAGTATCTACCACATATCGGTAATAAACCAACAAAGTTATGTATAGCTAGAAACCAGGAGTAAAAAAGGTACAGGGAAACCCTGCCTTACCTTAACCACATATCTGGTCCCATCCAGGGTCCAGGCTTATGTTATTGTGGGCATACCCCAATTGGGGACATCAGGGTACGGATACAATAGTGATAGCACCCTGCGGTCATCTTACTTACTGCACCAAGTACCAAGATGAGCACTGAATGCAGTGCCCAAAACAAACATTACAGGCCAGCCCTGCTACTGTCCAGGTACAGTTCTCAAGATGTACATAGAGTAACCAATCCAGAAACTGCTAGTTAGCCCTAAGGCGATAGGCAGTTAGAGCTTTAAAGAAGCGTCAGTCGAAGACCGGAACAAGAAAAAAAAATAAATAATAATATGGTAAAAATTATTAAAAGATTCTGCTCCAACAGGAGAAGGGTTCCCTCACCTGAGGACACCAACAAAAAACTTGAGCCTCAAAAGTGGGTGGGGTTATATGGCTACACTGAGAAATCGTTTGCTTGTGTCCAATAATCTAGTTAGTGGCATATAACCCATGGTCTAAGAATCAAACCCTGTGTCCTTGTACTGTACAATTATCCCCTTCCCACTGAGCATACACATATATGCAGCCTCACAGAAGTGGGTCCTTATCTGTGGGGCCACATACACTATATTGCCAAATGTATTGGGACGCCTGCTTTTACACACACACACACACACACACACACACGAACTTGAATGGCATCCCAGTTTTAGTCCGTAGGTTTCAATATGGAGTTGGCCCACCCTTTGCAGCTATAACAGCTTATGGGAAGGCTGTCCACAAGGTTTAGGAGTGTGGATTGTTTGACCATCCTTCCAGAAGCGCATTTGTGAGGTCATGCACTAATGTTCGATGAGAAGGACTGGCTCGCAGTCTCTGCTCCAATTCATCCCAAAGGTTTTCTATCAGGTTGAGGTCAAGAAGGGGCCATCCCCAAAACTGTAACCACAAAGTTATGAGCATGAAATTGTCCAAAATGTCTTGGTATGCCGATGCCTTAAGAAATTCCTTTCCTGGATCTAGAGGAGCATGATTTGTTACTCCAGAGAATACGTCTCCACTGCTATAGAGGCATACTTTACACCACTGCATCCGACACTTTGAAATGTACTTGGTGATGTAAGGCTTGGATGCAGCTGCTCAGCCATGGAAACCCATTCCATGAAGCTCTCTATGCACTGTTGTGCTAATCTGAAAACCACACAAAGTTTGGAGGTCTTTAGCTGTAGACTCTGCAGACAGTTGGTGATTTCTACGCACTGTGTGCTTCAGCATCTGCTGACCCTGCTCTGTCATTTTATGTTGCCTACCATTTCATGGCTGAGTTGCTGTTGTTCCCACTTGCTGCCACTTTGTTATAATACCACTAATAGTTGACCGTGGAATATTTAGTAGCAAGGAAATTTCACAGATGGACTTCTTGCACAGGTGGCAACATATCACGGTACCACTCTTTTAATTCACTGAGCTTCTGAGAACGATCCATTCTTTCACAAATGTTTGTAGAAGCAGTCTGCCTAGGTGCTTGATTTTATACACCTGTGGCCATAGAGGTGACTGGAACACCTGAAACCAATAATTTGGAGGGGTGTCCCAATACTTTTGGCAATATAGTGTATAGGTGCTGTGTTCGTACGAATCCTAGAACTGTGTGTTTTCAGTACAAACGATGACTGGCTATAACAGTGATCAGTCAGTGTACAACCCATCCTATTTTTAAATTTTTCTTTCCATTCAGGATGAAAGGGCACGCATGCACGCACACACTAAAATAGCTAGTTCCGGGTTTTAAGAATTTGTTTTGGGTTGTTCTTTGAGGACAGCACATGGTCTGGTAATTAAAAGGTATTACAGGCTGGTACTAAAGTGGTAAAAGATAAAACAACATGGGGCCTAAACCTGAGAATTGGAGACATTTGTGGTTTTACTCTGAACTTACCAGTGCGATGGTCGAAGCTGAAGTCTACTGTGTAATAAACAACAAAAAGCGGGCGCTTTGTGTATCTTTTAGCTTCGTTAGCATGTGTTCTGTGGCCAACCAAAGGCAAAGCATGCTTACGAATATGGTCTTTAATATTTTCTTCTGTTATAGTATCCTGAAACAAATTTGAAAGAAAGACAAAAAAACGGCATATTTCCCATTATATGCATCATGTGAAAAAAAATCATTTTTAACCCATGCAACAGTTTAAGAAGGGAAAAAAAAAAAAAGGGAAGAAGGGGTATGCAACCACTAAGTCTGCCTGTGAAGTAAAAGAACAACTCGAAAGGGGGGGGGGGGGGGGGGGGGGGTTGTTGGTGCCTAATCTTGTGGTGTCTGTCATATGTAGGTAACTTATAGAAGGGCACAGAGTTGTAAGTAAAAAGCAGGTTTCAGTCATTTTGTATCATGTCCTGGACATGACTGAAAGATACACAAAAGTGAAAGAATTTTCCCCTTTGCCGATTTTTTTCATATATTTGTCACTTAAATGATCAGATTAAACAAATTTTATTTCACAAAAGATAACCCTAGTAAATACAAAATGCAGTTGCTATGTGTATACAAAAGAAATTGGGTGAGCGCAAGTCCATAGTGAGGATATATTGACATAGCCCCACAAGAGCCCCAATGGCTCAAAATTGACATGGCTCTGAAAAGTTTAAACAAAATAATGGTGGATGAAAGCACCTGAACCAGGATGTTTATATATCCAAATTATGTGAAGCGATCCAAAAATGTGAGTGAATAAATGAAGGGTAAAAAAAGCTGTCCAAACCTGCCTGGTCCTATGTGAAAATTATGAATGAACTGTGATTAACCACATTTTTTGGACAGCAGAGTTAAATTACACTTGCCACACCCAAGCCTGATTACTGCCAGACCTGTTGAATCAAGAAATCACTTAAATAGAAGCTTTCCAACAAAGTGAAGCACACTAACAGGTATCAAAAAGCAACACATCATGCCGCGATTTTAAGTGATACAAGAACAGATGAGAAACAAAAATGATAAAACTTTATCAGTTTAGAAAGGGTTACAAAGCCATTTTCTAAGGCTTTGGGACTTCATTTGTGGATAATGGCTCTCACCACGGTTTGCTGGAGAAAACTTGGAGTAATTTTGGTAGGCCAACCACTCCTGCAAAGGTTCACCACTGTTCCAAGAGCACAACGACGCAGCCAGGAGGTAATAAAAGAACCCAGGACATCTAATGAACTGCAGGCTCTACTTGCCTCAGTTAAGGTCAGTGTTCATGATTCAACAATAAGAAAGACTGGGCAAAAATGGCATCCATGGAAGAGTTCCAAGGCAAAAGCCCATGTTGAACACAAACACAGACTTGTCACAAATTTGCCAAAAAACATCTTGATTACCCCCAAGACGTTTGGGCAAATATTCTGTGGACTGAGGAGACAAAAGCTGAACTTTTTGGAAGTTTTGCATTCTGTTCTGGCCCCCACAGGAAGGTCTGCATTCCCACATCTGTCTGATAGTCTGGGGTTGCTTTGCAGCTTCAGGACCTGGACGACTTGCCATAATTGATAGAACTATGAATTCTGCACTCTACCAAGAAAAACCAGCCATCAATTCATTACCAAGAAAAACCAGCCATCAATTCATGACCTCAAGCTCACTTGGGTTATGCAGCAGGACAATGGGCCAATGGTCAAGTCCACCTCTGAATGGCTATTAAATAAAATAAAAAAAATAAAAAAAAATAAAAAAAAAAAACAAACCACACAAAACACCACACACGCAAAGGTTTTTAGAGTGGCCTAGTCAAAGTCTGGACTTAAATCTGATTGAGATGCTGTGGAATGACCTTAAAAACAGTGTGGCTGACTGAAAACAATCCAGCAAAGAAGAGGGGCCAAAATTCCTCCACAGTGAGGTAAACGACTTATTGACAGTTATCAAACGCTTCATTGCAGTTATTGCCACCAAGGGTGGCACAACCAGTTATTTAGTTTAAGGGAAAATTACCTTTTTAAACATAGGGTCAGGCAGGTTTGGACAGTTTTTTTTTCCCTTTAATAAATTAAATAATTTAAAAACTGCATTTTGTATTTACTCAGGGTTATCTTTGAAGAATAGTAAAATGTATTTGATGATCTGAACAAATTTGCAAAAAGAAGAAAAGAAAAAAAAATAAATAAATATCAGGAAGGGTTCAAATACTATTTCACAAAACCCTATATGGGCATCTGTTGGATTGGGTGTGTGAACCAATATGATTGCAGTTTGCTTTTTTGGCGATTCCCATGTTTATAGGCTGGTCTAGAAATGCTTTAAAAAGGGTATTAAACCAAAATACAAAATGTAGATTTGATGCTTGCCAATCATTACACATGGTAGCGGTTATTTTTTCCCTTTTCTTCTGGTGATCCAACCAATAATGCACTCTTTATGGGAGTCTCCATTCCACTGCAGAAGCAATGGAGACACTTTTGGACAGCAGCATTGTAGGGAAAGGATGGTGTCAGATGCACAAGTAGATTTAGATGGACTTGACAGGAGGCAGAAGCTGAAACATGTGACAGGTTTCACCTCAAATACAGGTGAAATATGCAACATGTTCCAATGGTGAACTTAGGATGCAAGCATCCCTGTCAGTGTTTAGTGGTGTGTCTCAACCCTCTAACTGCTACTTTTGGCAGATACCTTGGTTTGTTAAAGGAAGTTGAAAAATAAACTTTAAAATAGAAACTAATGGCAGTCTGCAATATAATAAAATTTTGTGCCTTTGGGTGTAATACCGTTTTACATTCTGAAAGAGTGAAAAGCTTCCACTGAAATGGTCTTGTATAAAAGGAATCTAGATTACAGACAATGAACTGTTGGGGGGAACCAGTACAACTCATCCAGCTCCCAAGCTAAAAAAAATTTGGGAAGTCTCCCAAATAATTGTTAGAAATTTCCAGCAAATCTGGGATTCTGTTAAATACTCGGGGAATTTGATTTAGTCATTCCTACCCCTTTTGCCGATCTCTCATAATCCTTTATTCCCACCAGGCCTAGAACATCCCTTTTCCTTTCTTTCTCTTAGTGGACCTCCCATGAATTTGTTATTGTACAAGATTTCCTGAACACTCGTACACTTCCATCTTGGGAGTCTCTTCGAGAATCCAGGGGGGTCCCGCCACGGGAATATTATCGGGATTTGCGATTGCGCCACTGGGTCCTATCCCTCTGTCGTACCTCCACATATCCTTACCGCAAAACGCCCTTTGAGCAAGCATGTCACCATTCCCCAGGGTCCCCTGGCCTTATTTCGGTAATATATGCCTCCCTTAACAGCAGGCCTTCCCCATCGCCCTTGTCTTATGTTTCTCAGTGGGAGAGAGATCTGGGTGTTTCGATTGAGGCGGAGGATTGGCATAAGGCTGGGGGATGGTAGCGAAATGTTAATTTAATACAGTCACTCTTGAGGCAGCCTACAAAGTTCTACTGCGGTGGTACTGGGTCCCGGCTCGGACTGCTCACTTTAATTTGACTGGCGGTGATAGGTGTTTCCGGAACTGTGGTCAATGTGGAGACGTCTTGCACATTTGGTGGTCGTGCCCACATTTGATTGGCTTCTGGTCTAGGGTCTTTGGTTTGCTTCAAACGCTGTTACATATTACTGTCTGTAGGGATGCAAGGCCTGTCTAGGTCTCAACAGAAATTGGCATCCTACCTATTCATTTCGGCTAAACGTACTATAGCTCAAGCTTGAAAAACCCCGTCGGTTATCTTTCAAGGGGTGAAGACTTGGATGAATGCTATGTTGGTCAATGAGCAGATGTCTAGCATCCTTCTCGATTCTCATCCGAGATTCCTTAACGTTTGGGAACCTTGGATACGATATTCCCTACCATCCCTGCCTCCTACTAGTTATGGCCTCCTTTAGTCGCTGCTGGTGCTAGCCCCGGATCTGTGATCCCTTTTTCATGTTTTCTTTCTGATCCCCTTTTGTTTTCTTTTCTGCTAACTTCCTTTTCTCTTTTTTCCACTATTATGCTGGATTACTGCTGCTATGTGGCTCGGCTGTTTGCCGTCCCTTCTTGATATCTTCGGAATTTTTTGGTATTTGACTAACACCAGTCAGCAGGATATCCCTGTTTATATGTTATTGTTCTGCTCTGCCCCTGCGAGGGCGTATTTTGAGCTTGCTGTGTTTTTGAAAATCAAAACTTTCTTAATAAAAATATTGAAACAGAAATTTCCAGCAAAGCTATGTGCCAGAGAAAGACATTATCATAGACGAAAGTCTAATGGACTACAAAAGGAAGGCTCAGCTGGATACAGTATATCGCATCCAAGAGAGCACGATTTGGCATCAAATCCTACCTGCTATGCGAATCTTCTACTGGCTACATATGGAACAGTTATATACACCAGCAAAAGGAACAAAATTTGATCCCAAGTACAGCAACTATGGAATGGCAACATCTTCCGTCCTGTTGCTGATTGAGCCTGTGCCAAGGCTACTGTGTAACAGACAATTTCTATACCTCTCCAGAACTTTACGGGGTTCTTCTGCAACACAAAACAGATGCATATGGAACCATTCGGGCTAAACGGCACAACCTGCCATCAATGTTTGGAAAAAGCCAAACTGAAGTCGGGAGAAATAGTTGCCAGGCAGAAAGGCAAAATGAAGGCAGTGTAAAAAAACACATCCGAAGCCGCAGGTTGTTATTGACTACAATAGCGCCATGGGAGGTGTCGACAGAGCTGACCAAGCTATGATTTTCTATCCTGCGATGAGAAATTAGCAGAGGAAATTACAAAAAGATTTTCAGGTATCTTCTGGAACACTGCTTGTGGAATGCCTACATTCTGTTCCGTAAAAACAGTGACAAGCCTGTGCTTCTTGCGAACCTTATCTGGAAAGTTGCGGAATCCATTTTCCTAAAACATCAAACACCATCGGTGTCTGTGGGTAGATCCAGACGACGTGCTGTGGGAGTTGTCAACCCAGAACGTCTGACTGGACATCATTTTATGGACCACATACCACCAACCCAAAAAAATGCAGCACCTAAAATGGTTGTACGTGGTATGTTGCTCTCGGTGAGATGAGTGGAAAAAAAAAAATCCGCAAGGAAACAAGGTTCCACTGTCCTGATTGCGATGTCGGAGTTTGTGCAGTCCCGTGTTCCAAAATATACCACACCCGTGATGTTTTCTAGAATATGCAGTGTCTCTATAATATTGTTTGGACAGAGTTCCGTGTGTTTGATTTGATTACATTATTTAATTATATTATAATGCATTAAAGTTTATTGCCCCTAGGATGTCTACTAGACTCTTGTATAAACAGATTTCAGTGAGTTATTCCTAAGAATTACAGGCCTACAATAAAAAAAAAAAAAAAAAAAAAAAAAAAACAAAAAAAAAAAAAAACACACAACATATTTCCATTGAAAAAAATGTACCGCTTTGAGCACAGAAATACTGACATAATCATACTGCTAGGGAGGTTAAGTACATCTAATGAACAGCCAACAGCAATCTAATTAAACAGTAAGCTAAACAACAGCCAGGCACCCAGGAGCCCACCCCAGACAGCCCGACACCTCCAACCCTGAATACACAAAGTTCAGTACACATGCTGTCTTTCAAGTGACTGGCCCCCACCTATGCAATCTGTCCATCATGAGACAAAACTCATAATATTCCAGTCTGTATAGTGGAATTAATGTATTTTCATAGATTTGAGGGAAAATTGGGGATAAATATTTTTGTCCCAAGTGGAGGAGCTTCTCCAACCCAGTCTGCAGGAGGGCCACCATATTTCCTCTGACCATTAACCTGTACAGGATTAATATTACACCTTTCCATCCACTCCAGAAGGGAAGCTTTGTCTTATTCAGAGAATTTATCCAAACCTCTCTCTCGGTGTTTAGCACGTTATTATCCATCACAGACTGATCCGCTCAAAAAAGGTACAGTGGTTTATTTTATAAACATTTTATGATTAATTCAAAACATAACCAGTAAAAAAACAAAAAAACACAAACACAAAACAAAAAACACCTTACCTTAACTTTAAGACTGTACATTTTTGGCTCATATTTTGATTGAAATCGGTCAGGATGCATGACAACTATTTGTCCTGCTGAAACTTTAAGAAAGTTTTCAATGTCTGTGTTGAAGGTATGGTATAACTTAAATTCTTCTCTTAGAGCATTTGCTGAAATGCACAAGGAATAATATTACAATAATATCATAAACACATGTAAGTTAAATATCTAGAGGCAACAATTCCTGAAAATATATTTATATAAAAATATACACATTAGCTAAGTGTGCCATGTACACATTTTGGGAACAAGACAAGACTGATGACTGCTGTCACTTTGTGCATATGAAAAGTGTTGTGCAAGATATTAAAAGCTGAACTCCAGGAAAACAGCTAAATATACAAAAGAAATACATGTATGTGAGTGTTTGCATACCAAAGGATTTGGATGATGAATTATTAAGGGCCAGTTCACACTACAAAAATGCACTCTGGATGCATTCCAGATATGTTTTTGCTTACAGTTCACACTACATGCAGTTCTGGTGCAGTTTGTCATGTTACAGTATGGTTCTGTGCAGAAAAAAAAAATGCAGCATGTTCTACTTTTTTGCTGCACCAGAAACTGGACTGCACTAGTGTGAACCAGGGCCATTGAAATACATGGAAAAACACTGTGCATGCATTTCTGATGCAGAAAAAAAACAAAAAACAAACAAAAAAAAAAAAACCTAGTGTGAACTAGCCCTTAAGCTAACTGGACTCTTTTACCATTCAGCCTGGAGCTTCTGTTCTGTTTCTGTGCACCCATTAAAGAGGAGCCTTGCTCTATGTGCACAGCCTCACCAGGTTCAGTGAGCTAGTCATTGCCCTACCCTTTAATGGGAGAAAATGCATTTTGATATCCTGGTGGCTCTTGGGATTGGTCTTTTTTGGGAGTACACAGCATAGACCTGATTTTTCTCTGCTGCAATTTAGTAACAATTACAGGTCCTGTCCCTCAGCTTGTGACTGGACAGGAAAAACAGAAGCACAAATGATAGGCTCATCTCCCTGTCCCTGGACAATTTGGACACAGGTGTTGTAAATATGAGGGAGGACTAATACATTTAAATGTAATTATTAGTCTATGTTGTGGAAACAGGAATGTGCAGACAGATATAAAACACAAAATGCCTCCAATCCAAATGGCATATCCTACAACACGCCGAGTACTTTGAGTAACCAAAGCATAGAAGGAAGGGTGGCCTGTTTCCCTTTACTGTACTCCCAGGTACATAATTTACATGTAAAGATTCCTTTAATTCTAGAGTTTGCCCTATTCTGAACCTCAAATACCTTCAAAATATCCCCATTAGGATTTGGTACTGTGAAAGGGTAAACCTTTGAACCTGTCTTGTGGCGGTATCAGCACAACCACTCCCGGGGACCAGAGAGGACTCAGGACATTCTGTAAGTCTAACTATGGGCAGTTTTTGGATGACTTGATAGAATTCAAAACTCTAACCCCTCACCACTTCTATTTTGTACCCCTTTGAAACCACCAACTGAACCCACAAGTCTGGGACCCAGAGAAAGTCAAATGGTAACAGAAGTCTCCCTCACTCCTAGGAGTGAGGACGCCCCTTCACTGAGAAGAAGAGGGCTTTAGGGAATACTTGGTGGGATTTGTGTGCAAAGTCTTATGCAGAAAGGAAGAGCTTAAGTTCAGTTTTGAGTCTGAAGCAGGAGGGGAGCAATTGGTTGCTTTGTGTTTTGAAGAGGTAAAAGCTCCAGTTGATCAAGGTTTTAGGAATCTTCTCCTGTGGAAGAACGACCTTCTCTCCTGTGACATCTGCAATGAATTTGACAAATCCCTCACCAAAAATACATCCGCCTTCAAAAAAGGCATACATGTGAGGTTTTTTTTTTTCTTCTTTTTTTACAGCTTCAGCTGGCGAGGCTTTTAGCCATAGGATTCTGTGAATATAAATAGAGATTACAGCCATTCTGGAAATGTGTGTCAGTACCAGGATTTGGGCTGTCCCTTTAAGACTAAGCAAAACTCATCTGAGCTTGCCCCTGTCTGGAAAGTGACAGTGACCGCCAAGCTGATTACGGTTCACCTTTAAAACACCGGTGTCAACACACCACCAGTGCCCATGATAGCATAGCTATCTTTGTGTGCTCTTGCTTGACCCAGTTGAGATCTTCTCAAAAGCATACCGTGTATGACAACATGTATAAATACATAAGTGGTTCATATGGTGAACTCGGTGTAGAGCTATTCACCATGAGGTCATCACAGAGAACAAAAAGGGGGCACTCTTTACGTCTGGAGGAAAAGAGATTTAATCTCCGAAACACGGAAAGGTTTCTTCACAGTGAGAAGCTGTGAAAATGTGGAATAGACTCCCTCAAGAGTTGGTTCTGGCCAGCTCAATGGATTGCTTTAAAAAAGGCCTGGATTCGCTCTTAGATACACAGAATATACCTGGATACTAACATTTATAGGTAAAGTTGATCCAGGGAATCAGGAAGGAATGTTTTTCCCTGCAGGAGCAAATTGGATCATGTTTTGCTGGGGATTTTTGCCTTCCTCTGGAACAACAGTGGGTATAGGATTATAACTTTTTTTTTTAATGGTTGAACTGGATGGACTTGTCTTTTTTCAGCCAGACAAACTATGATCTGGCGTATTCTGACCCTGCTCTTCCTTACTGCCAATTCTGTACCATTTGAACTCTGACGTACACATGTGTGACCTGGCTTGTCTAGACTACACTTTTGCTTTACCCCTCTGTGTTAACAGACCCTCCATTACAACTTGGTTGTCCTCCTGACCTGCTCCTGCTATGCACCAGTCTCTTGTTTCATTTACATCTGAAGCAGCACATCACAAGTACCAGACCAGCCAGCCTGCCCTGCTCACAGTCCTGCTCATGGTATGTGCTCTGTTACTTTCTGCGTAGTTTCTCTCAGCACATCTGAACTATTTTACCTGCTATCGAACTCCTGGCCTGACAATCTGTTCATTGCACATTCTGGGGGACTTCTGTAATTTCTTGGATAAGACACGGTCTTGGAATACAGGACCATGTTGGTTGTTCATTGCCCTTGTCCAGTTAGCTGCAGATTGACATTTGCACAAGTAAAAAAAAAAAAAAAAAAAAAAAAAAAAAAAAAAAAGGCTTTAAATTCCACGAATACTGATAAGTGTCCCAGTGAAGCCCACCTAATGGAGTTTCCTGTTAAGGTGTGGCAACAATGGTGCACTGCTCCTGAATTCAGAGCAGGAATTGTGAATATTATGCGTACCTGTACTACAGTGGGATGAAAAAAATGTTGCATGTGGTGTTGTTATTCCCATTGTCACTGCCTGTAGCTAGTCGGTCAGCACCTGACCAAACTTAGTCCTACACACGGATTTCTAGATTTACAGCACAGCCTCAGATGCTGAAATCCTTCAACTTTTTAGAATGAAGCCCTGCCACAGAGGCTGAAACAATCTCACTACGAGCTGCAGTGCCTAGAAGAGGAACAAACAAGATAGAAAAAGGAGGATTTGGATCAAAAAAGGAGGGAAAAAAAAACAAAAAAAAAAAACCCTGGATTTTCTCTATATAATGATATGTAAAATACATGTAGGCAAGACCGGAAATTTAGAGACTGATTCAGACCCTCGAGGTCCAAAATGGGCCCTTCATCCCCATTTGGTTTTGGGAGTGTGAACAGGTTTGAATGAAATCCCTGAAAACCTTTCGTCCACTGGAACCTCCGTGATCACCCCCCTGAGACAATAGGCGATAGAGTGCCTGTTTCAAAGCTCTTCTCTGGCTTCATCGGTATATTTGATTTTAGAAACCGGGGTGGGCCCAAAATTCTATGCTGTACCCCCAGAGAAATCGTGGAAATGACCCACTTGTCTTGGATTAGAGCCCTCCAAGTGACAAGAAAATTTAAAAAAAAGCCTTCAAAAGCTTACAACACCTGGTATACCCAGGCAGTCTCCCCTCCAAGTAGTAACCAGGGCTTGAGCCTGACTAGATTCCGAGTTCAGATGAGATCAGGCGCGTACAGGCCGTAATGCAGCCGTAGTCCATTGCAGCTCCGCCACCAAGAATAGCTGCAATGCCAGACAAACACAGTGACCTAGATACCTCTGACACCACTGGTTTATTGTGAAATGCAAACACCGTCAGAACCCCCCAGGAGGACATTCTCTCCGATTGGTCGACCAGTGTCCATTCACCTATAGGTGGCATAGAACCAACATAGTCTTGAATAGCTTGCACAGTGTCCCGTGATGTACGATAACGTTTTCAGTTTATGTTTCTGAGGCTTGTGCATCACAGTGCAATTTGGTGCTGGTTTGGACTGTCATACATGGGCCCTTATTTGTACTTTAATGATTTTTGAAGAACAGACAACTTTTACTATATCTGCAATCCACAATTGCTTACACAATGAAAAACATGATAGGAGTACATGTACATAGTTTATCTTATTTTGAGTACAAATAAAGATCACCATTTTAAATCTTTACCTGAATCCTGATAGATTCCGAATTCTCTCTTTTGGTCATCATTAAAAATTCCAAGGACTACAACGTCATCTCCATCTTTCAAATGCTCCTGTACTTGTTTGATCGTCTGAATCTGTTTCGATGGTGGCCCAGCTTGTTCAGTCATGTAATCAATTATACCTTAAAAAATGAAATAAAAAAATATAATATAAATGAAAGATCTGTGGTCTTGTTTCCAAGAGAGTGTTATGTGTCTTATTATCAGAAGACGTTTTGAGAAGATAAAATGCAATTTTTATATGATGAAAAAAATGTTATATACACACAGTGCAGAGCACAAAGTATGTGAAGACACAAACTGAGTAGATGAAGAATAAAAAAAAAAAAAAAAAAAAAAAAAAAAAAAAAAAAAAAAAGTTTTGCGCCTTCGTGACAGTCTACTAAAATGCCACTTCAGCAGGCCATAGACGAACCAAAAACCAAAACGAAAATTCTTGTCAATAGTCAGGTCGTTTGGTTTTTGCATCATTAGTGTGCCAGCTGTGACACGCGATTTTCCTGGTGCAACAAGTGCCCGATCCAACATGCTGATTTTTTTTTTTTTTTTTTTTTGAAAAAAAAAAAAAAAAATTGATGGCACAATCATATGAAAAAAACGAATGTAATTTTCGTTTTTCAAGCAACAGTTTGGTTTTTGACTTGTCTTTGGCCTGCATTACTTGGAAAATCCTGGAAAGGAAATACTACACATGTAATAATGTTTGCTTGTTGCATCCACCAGTCCTTGTACTCTTTTCTCAAGATGCAATCTGCCAGCATGCTTGGTATCCTATTTCAATGCTTGTCAAAACACAACACACACCACATTTTGGCCTCACATGAACATTCAAAAATCTCTTCAATTAATAAATTTAAAAAAAAAAATTGTTTATGGGACATATCTTGTGATCCACAGTAAAAACAAAATTCAAAGATTTAAAAAGATCAGTTTCCCGTGTGTTGTGAAATACTGTTTATATACTTCCTAGAATTTGTGTGCAAACAGTAATATACACACACACACTTTTTTTTTTTTTTTTTTTAAAGTGAAAAATAGGTAAAATAGGTAATCTTGGGGACGAGAAAAAAAAAAAAAAAAAAAAAAGAAACTTGTGTATCTGAATGCATGTACATTGTTATAAAGAAAATACACAAATTAAAAATAGATATATATAAAAGTTTACATGAAAAAAATTACTGAAATTTCTCATATAAACACCTGGTACGAACCCAATTTTATTTATTTTTTTAATCTATGGTTTAAAAATTATACCAAATCACAAATGCAAACTAGGTACAGAACCTATACAGGATGTAATATATTATTATACAGAATTTATAACGTATCAAAAAGCAGACAGTGTTAAAGGCAAAAATCGGTTTGGTTTAAAATATATTTTACATTAAACTATCCATTACTAAAACTAAACTAATCAATTCAATCTGCCTCTACACATTTTCTGCTTTTTAGTACATATAGTTCATCCAGTATGAGCTGTGCACCTAGTTAAGACCAATTAGAACAGCTGCTGCATCTGACTATTTTTCACCTTGCTTCAGCATTTTTCAAAATGATGGCCGCAGAATCCATAGAGTACATTATTAATTTTTTTTTTTTTTATGCACAATAGATGTTAATATTTAAAGTTTGTAGGAGGGTCGATTTACTAAAAGGTAAAAATAGGACTGTGCACGTTGCAAGTGCAGTTGCACTCATTTTCCCTGGAGTTTAGTGAATGCGGTGAAGCTCTAATGAGTTCTATCATCCAATCATGTGCAAACAAAAATGCTGTGATTATTGCACCTTATTGGGTATTCTTTACAAAGTGAAGTTTAAGCATATTCACTATGCAACAATGCATTTTCAATACACATATTTTGTGTATTACATTCTTTATAAAGAGTATACATACACTGGATACACAAGTTTCTATTTTTCAGTCGCCAATTAAGTGCCGCATAGATCTTTTTTATATTACATATTTCAAAATAAAAAAAAACGTAACTTTTTTTTTTTTTATATACTTGCCTTATATTAGGCTCTCCTATAAAATTACTTTTTTGCGTAAAATTTTTCTAGAACTGTATACATGTGTTTTAAACAAAAACACAAGGGAAATGGATCCCTTTTACTCGGTCTACGCAAATGTATTTTTTTACTGTGGATCAAACACATACTGTATGTACCATACATGTAATATCAAAAAGTGCAACGCAATTAAAATGTGTACAACCTCAATATAAAAAAAAAAAAAAAAAAAAAAAAAAAAAAATAATATATATATATATATATATATATATATATATATATATATATATATATATATATATATATATATATATATATATATATATATAGAGCGCAATATAGCGCAATCACTCATAAAATTACCTATGATTAAGTCACTGACCACATGACGAAATGTGTCAGCAGGTGGGGGTAAGGTGACGTCATGCCCGGAAGTGTGACTATGGTCATCTTAGACACTACTCCAGGGATATGTATCCTTAAGGATGGTGTTCGCGTTGGAATTGGATTTTAAACAAGCGATCTATCTGGTGCACTAGATGTTACAAGTGCACTACTTTTGTGAGTGTTCTTAATCTCTTAAGAGAAACAAAAATTAGTTACTCTGATACTGCATCTTGAGATCCTTTTTGCTTTGTATTTTACATGGATTTGATTGGAGTTCTGCGTTTTTAAGAGGGATACTCCGCTGTAACAAGCTGATTGGAGGAATATTTATTTCAGGTACTTTTAAGCACTGTTAATTTACGCATTACGCAGCGCTTTACATATAAATTATACATTCATATCAACCCTTGAGGGTCCCCAACCCTCAAGGGGCGTACAATCTAAGGTCACTAACTCTCACATTCATACATACACATACTAGGGCCAAGTTAGACAGGAGCAAATTAACCTACCAGCATGTCTTTGGAGTGTAAGAGGAAACCAGAGTACCCGGAGAAAACCCATGCAGGCACAGGGAGAACATGCAAACTCCAGGCAGGTGGTGCCGTGCTTGGGATTCGAAAAACGACCCTAATACTGCCAGGCAGAAGTGCTAACCATTTAGCCACTGTGAATATTGGCAGTTATACCTAGAGTGTTGCAAAAGCTGTTTGACCTTACCTTTGTGTGGGTCAAGCCTTGGAGGTAAGAGGCAGCATTGAGAGGTGTTGGAGCACATCAGAAAGTTTGTATGGAGCAAGCATGACGTATGCATGTCAGCAAACATGACTTGTTTGGAGGAAAGAAATTCTGGGACTGTAGAGACTTTTACATTTGCGTACAATATGATCATGTGCATGTATTTATATACGCTTTTTCACTATATGCGAACAAGGATGAATTTGCACAGACATACCATCAAGGAACATAAAGAAGATGACTTCTGCACACCTGTGGTACACCATTTCACACAACTGGACCACACTATGGAAGACCTCAATATCTTAGTTCTTAAAAAGGAAATTGCAAAAAACTATCCAGGAAAGGAAAACTTTTGAATGAAGTATTTCTATTTCTAACAATATTTCTATTTGATACAAGAGAGAACAGCCTTAATTTAGACATGGGATTCCTCACTCAAAAACAGTTTTACGACCTCCTCTGTGAGTGTTGTCCCAAACACCCCCCAGTCTTTGCTTTAGCTTGGTCTTCTCTCTAGTCTAATCCTAGTTTTATAACTAGGCTGTGTACATTTGTGTGGTTTTTTTTTTTTTCACTTTTTTTTTCTCCCCCTCAGGAGATGGTTTCTTTTAATATTCTGCTAAAACTTTGTGAGGTAGTACTGCTTGGACTTTGAAGAAGGGGACATACCCCAAAAGCTTGTCCTGAAAATTGTATGTTAGTGCAAATAAAAAAGTATCACTGACAGTACTCAACTGTTTATCACTATATATGAAAATTTTAAAAAAGGGGGTTTCTAGTTATGAAGCACTGTTTTTGGTAAATTAGATTTTTTTTCATTTCATTGAGTTAGATATTTTGGTACATTTGTAATGTCTGCACACATATTTTAGTTGCACTGCACATTTTGATATTGAATTGTATTGGATTTTGAATGCACAACAGTGATTAGCTGGAACAAAATTAGTTTCCTTTACACATATTTGGGTTAGTGCAGAGGTTTTTGATTTGTTTTTTTATGCTGGCAGATTGCATCTTAAGAAATAAAAAACGAAGTGTCTCTGACAGCACCAAGCAGACATTGCATGAGCAATTTTGATTGCATGCACAGAATTTATTTTCAGGAGTGCAGCTACTTGCCAGCCATATGCAAGTGGCGTTCTGGCACACAGTAGCCAAGAACCAAAATCATGTATTGTACCTGTTCTGCTGGATTTACCAAAGACTCAGAAGGATTGCCTGCACTGCTCCATTACTCACTAACAAAATCAGCAGTTCTGCACTGGATGCAGTTTTGACCTCTTTGTCGGAAACTGTGGCAGTTGGTACTTCAAATCCTGTCTTTGTGCATGTGTTTCTTCATGTGCTGGCAAAGGCTGTTCCCCATTATATATTTTTCAATTTCATTGTACAGGTACTCCTCGCTTAACGACAGAGTTCCGTTTCAACGACTTGGTCATTAAGTGAGGAACTGCATGTACTGTATACAGTAGTACAATATATTCATAGTATTTGACAATACAGTATTCTGAATAAGTAAAATAACAAGAAAGATCAAACTGAAAACTTCCACTTGTCTTAATTTGCATAGGTTGTGTAATTTACACACAGTACTGGAATGTTGTATTACAGAACATAAAGTTAGCAAAGTACGGTCGTAATGGTCGTAAGTGCGAGTGGTCGCTAAACAGGTAGGTCGTTAAGCGAGGAGTGTCTGTATTTCTATTACGTTGCAATACAGTTTTACCCACAGAGAAAACAAACAAACATACTTGCAAAATGGTTTAGTCAGATCATTAAGCAGAATGTAGTGTTGAAGATCTTTAGCCTAACAAAAGGATTAAATTTGTATGTAGGTAGAATAAAGCCAGCCATACATGGCTTAAATTCAACCAATACAGAGGGGCCAGGACAAATTCCAATCCATGTGGTTGCACAGAATTCAATCTACCAACCTATCAGATTTTCCCTGCTCAATCAGCGCTAAAGCTTGCCACACTGATCAGTGTATTCCGATGGTGGGGGAAGTCTCCCCACTGTCAGAAACAATAGCTCAGCAGCAAGGATTACCCCATCCACATTGAGTGGGTGGATAAGGGAATTGAGTCAGAGGTTGAATGAAAAAAAAAAAAAAAAAAAAAACCCCACAGGAAGAAGGAAGGAGGACTCATTTACAGGCAGCTTAAAAAAATCTCAATTACTGTGCAATTTTACTGTAATAAAAAAGGTAATAAACGGAGGATAGGATAAATCAAGCTCTGAACCACACTTGCTGATTTAATCTCCATTGGGAGATTTAACTAGGTGTTGACATTTTTTTAGTAGCAGCACGTCACTTTTAAAGTGCTGAGATGACTGACCAAAAGGTGGTTAAAGCACTCTACAGACTAATAGGGCTAAATGAATTAGCAGCACAATTGTCAGCCAGCCTGCCTTCAGTTCATTGAGATGACAGCAGCATACTTAGACAAGATAGGCAGTCCAATGACCAATTGGAGGACTAATGAGTACAATGTTGCTACTAAATTGAGAGGGCAGTGGCTTATTGTGGTTGGTCTTAAAAAAAAAAAAAAAAAAAAAAAAAAAAGGAAGAAAAAGAAAGAAGAAAGAAGAAAGAAGGAGAAAGAAGAAGAAGAAGTGGACACTGGCAAGACCTCCAAGTACCAAACTGCAGAAACACAAAAAATTATCTGCTTAAGGCCTCATTCAGCCATGCCCTGCTTGCACAGCTGTGTTATTCATTCAGAGAGATCTGTGAATGAAAATAAAATAACAGTCCATATTCCCATTGCGCACATTCCTGGGTTCTCAAAAAGTACCAGGTGCTGCAGTGACCACCAGCTGGATATCAGAGCATACACAACCAAATGTAAAATATTTGCCTGCACACCATGGATCTTCAGTTAGGTTCAAAGGGTTATAATTTAAGAAAGATCACATCACAGTGTAGTGCAGCGTTTCGGAGCCCCCCAGGGCCCCTTCGTCAGGTGTGTAAAGTCATCAAATTGAAGATCAATATTGTTACATAAAATATGAAAAATAAATTCATTATCATATTTTATGTAATAATATTGTGTTTGATAGAGTCATTTATATGTTACAACTTAGTATGGATTCACCTGCTTGGATATGTCTCTTGATGTATTTAACATTTTAGAGAGAGTGCAGATTGTATATCCCACTAATTGCCATGTATATTTATTTATGCACATTAGATGGCAGTGTGTATACAAATTCCTCCCTTTTTACATATATTTTATCGATTTGGAGCAGTAACCTTTGAATCTGATCTGGATGATTAGATTTATTTATACGATTTAGAATTCAGAAAATTTATGGCCATACATGATTTGGCCATTATTCAGGTCTCTTTTGTTTTCCATATTGTGGCTTGGTTTTCACACTGGCCTCTTCTGGTATTACACACTGAAGGATAGAAATGTCAACTTGAGGCTTGGATTCACTTCCTGTATGGACATCATTGACCTAGATGTCCCTATGTCAGTGTGGCTATTTTTTGTAGATTTGGCCATTATGAACAACCTTTTGATTTTCAAGTAGAGGTCAGGTTTGCAAGTTGATTCCTTTTGATAACAGCCAAACAGAGAATGGAATTGTGAAACCGAGGCTTGGGGGGGTCACATCCTCTGCCATCCACTTCCGGTGATCAGTTTCTGCTGGTTGTGCTCCAAATCGAGGCTTGGATATTTCTTATTTAAAGCGCGATGGCAGAGGGTGGCTCTGTAGCCCCTAGAGGATGTCTTTTGATGACGAAGCATGTCAGGCAGAGCCTCCCTCTGACATTATCATGCTGTTGGCCATCTTGGATATGGTTCATGTGAATGCTTTTAATTGTTCTACAGTTTGTAAGTAGGATCCTATTTGCGCAAATAAAAAAGTTTTTGATACATATTGCACTAGGAGAGGCATTTTTTTTCTTTCATGACCTTGTCTGGCACTACAATTTGAGTTTATATTCGAGTTGGAGTCTGGGAAGTTCCATGCTTTGGGGCGTGATACGGGAAGTCTGCCAGTGCTCTACATTGTAAAGCTGGTTGGGACCCCATGTAATTAAGGGGTCTCCATTTCTGGTAAGCCTCCATTCCTTACTTTGGTGGTGGTGTGCACTCTGGTGACCAGTTGAAGCAAGTTTATTTGCATTTACAGCATTGTCTACAATAATACCATCGATTGTGGAATTTTCTTCTCATGCTTATGGATTAAGGTTTATGTCTATATGGACTTTGTTATTGTTTTTGAAATTTTTCTACTAACCTTTATGAATATTTTTAGCACATTGAGATTTGACCTATCCTCAACCTCGATCACTCTTCAGAGATGTGAGGATCTTCATAGGGCTCATAGATAATGCATGAAATTTTAGGTTAATCTGAGCACATATTACGGTTTCGTACACATATTTATGATACTCATTCCATTTACTCACTTATGTACTCACTCCATTTATTCAATTACATTTTTTTCAAATTTTGATTGCCCTTCAGAGGGGTGAGAGTCTTCATAGGGCATACGTATGCACTTATTTAGTTTAACTATTACAGTGTTTATTTTCAAATCGCATTTCAGAGCTGTGAAGGTCTTCATAGTGCTCAAAGTTCTAAGGGTTCACCTGTATCCATTTGAATTTGACTTGGATTTATTTATGAGAAGAAACGTGTGAACAAGGGACTAATTAATGTTGTGTTTTATGTATGTTTTGACCAGGCAGCGCTTGTTATGTATATTCATGTGAAAAAGTATGCGTACACCTCATGAAGCTGTTCAACATATTTGAACAGGCAAACATTAGCTCTTCATTCAAACTTGAATTATAGATAAAAAGGTGTTATATTATGTGCGCAGTCATGTTGGAACGGGAAAGGGCCATCCCCAAACTGTTCCCATAAGGTTGGGAGCATGAAATTGTCCAAAATATCTTGGTATGCTGACGCCTTAAGAGTTCCCTTCACTGGAACTAAGGGGCCAAGCCTACCCCTGAAAAAACCCCACATCATAATCCCCCTCCACCAAACTTTACACAATGCAGTCAGGCAAGTACCGTTCTCCTTGCAACCGCCAAAACCCAGACACGTCCATTAGATTGCCAGTGTAAAGTTCAGTGGAGGGGAGATTATGGTGTGGGGTTGTTTTTCCAGGGGTTGGGCTTGGCCCCTTAATCCAGTGAAGGAAACTCTTAAGGCGCCAGCATACAAGACATTTTGGACAATTCCATGCTCCCAACTTTGTGGAAGCAGTTTGGGGATAGCCCCGATGGATGTGTCTGGGTTTGGCAGTTGCCTGACTACATTGTGCCAAGTGTAGAGTTTGGTGGAGGGGGGATTATGGTGTGAGGTTGTTTGTTATTTCAGGGGTTGAGCTTGGCTCCTTAGTTCCAGTGAAGGGAACTCTTAAGGAGTCCGCATACCAGACATTTTGGACAATTTCAGGCTCCCAACTTTGTGGGAAGAGTTTGGGATGGCCCCCTTTCTGTTCCAACATGACTGCGCACCAGTGCACAAAGCAAGGTCCATAAAAAGAGTTTGGGGTGGAGGAACTTAACTGGCCTGCAGAGTCCTGACCTCAACCCAATAGAACACCTTTGGGATGAATTAGAAGGGAGACTGCAAGCCAGGCCTTCTCGTTGAACATCAGTGCCTGACCTCACAAATGCACTTCTGGAAGAATGGTCATACATTCCCATAGACAGTCCTAAAAACTTTGTGGACAGCCTTCCCAAAAGAGTTGAAGCTGTTATCGCTGCAAAGGGTGGGCCAACTCAATATTGAACCCTACAGACAATGACTGGGATGCCATTAAAGTTTGTGTAAAGGCCGGCATCCCAATACTTGGAAATATATAGTGTCCATGTCTGAAATTTTAATTTTATCAGAGAAAACTAGAATAAAATTAAAATTTGCAATGGTGGCATTCTACAACAAAAAACTATTACCGAAAGAAGGAGGAAGAAGGAAGGAAGGAAGGAAAGAAGGAGGAAGAAAGAAGAAAAAGTAGTAGTAAGTACTAAAAAAATTGTACGATATTTACCGTATGTTTCTCTTGGCCCATTGTAATCAAATGCTTTGCCCTTGCGAAAAATCTTCAGTGTGGGGTAGCCAGTTACTTCATATCTCTTTGCAAGTTCAGATTCAGCTGTAGCATCAACCTTTGCCAAAGGTATAGGTGGTGTGCGCTTACTTAATTCCTGTGCAGCCTTCTCATATTCAGGGGCAAGTTTCTTACAATGTCCACACCTAAATGCAAAGTTACCAACAGTAATCAATGTTGTAAGATAGTACATGTAACCAAAAATGTCACAGCATCTGCTAAAAAAACAAAACCCACACACTACCAGCATGTCTTTGGGCATGCTCTTGGTACTGCTTTGCTACATACATGTTCTGTACATTGTATTGTCACAATCATGCCCACAGGGAAAGGCACAGTTCTCCATTTTGCTCCAGGTTTCTGCATTTTGGTGTTTCTCTTAAACTCCCAAATCAGTCTCCCTCCTCCGATTTCCCCCCTCCCTCAGGTATGCAAGCAGCGTATGATGCTGAGCCCTGCCTAACCATTCTTTTGCCAAATAAGGTATTGGCTTGTCCATTGTGGGAAGAGATTTTGAGTAGAAGAAAGAAGTGTTTCTTTTGTGTTTAGACAGACAAGTGAGGACGTTGGCTCTGTACCATCTAGCTGACCAAGAGTCTTGTTGGACCATCGCAACTAAGTGCAAGACCAGAAATCCTGTTTTTTAGCTCAGACTTGAAACTGCTTAACCCCAGACATTTGGCAAGCACTTATTTACTTACATGTCTGTTATCTGTTTGCTGTGCTCATACACAGCAAACAGTACATCGACCATTGTCCAATTAACTGGAACATCGGTGTGCAGCATTGTTACGCACGTGACAGCGTGGTTTTAGATTGGCTAGTCCTTCAGTCACAAGTTTGGTGAGAAGGGCTGCGGTCTGACGTCGCGTTCGTCACATGTATATCATCATCTTTCAACACAAATAGGGAGTGTCTTCCCAAGAAAGATTTTCCGTCTGCCACTGGAAAGCCATTTAGCTTCCTGAAGAACACCAGTGAAGTTCTCCATTCTCCTTCTGATAGATATATATATATATATATATATATATATATGCGCCAGTAAATTCTTTAATTGTGTTTATTAAAGTCACATACATAGCTAGGTCACATTTAAAATGTATTCAATGTGATTTGTAGGTAGTGGTTTGCAAGAAATGTGTTCTTTGTATGCATTTGTAATAGAAATGTGTACAAACATTGTAAATTTCAGTTTATGTGACTGTATTAGTTTTACAGAACTATTCACAGAAGTAAAATTCAGTTTGAAATGAAACAACACCGTTTCTGTCAGTTTTGTTAGCGGTCGGCTAACCGTTAGTAGGACAGCATAATGTCCCTCAATTGACTCCAAAAAGATTTCGCAATGAACACAAAAATCCTAATTTCTTTGCCCATTGACAACAAAGGAGATGTCTTAAACCTCCGGACGTCCAAAAGTAGTCCAACTGAGTGGTAGGCAACGCAGCAACCAACTGCTAACAGGCCCAAAGTAAAAAAAACTAGAATGGGGTACTGACTACAGCACTCCCGAAGCTGGCATCGGATGGCAGAAAATTCTACCTTGTAGAACCCAGAGAATGGGTTAACAGAAGCTAAGGTGACAACATTGCAGATCTGGAAAACAGAGGTCTGCTGCCAAAAAAAACCCAATAGGGGCTCACTGCCCTAGTAGAGAGAGCCTAAACAGGAAAGGGGGAACTCAATCCTTGAGGTGAAAAGCCTGAATGATCGTCCATCTAAGTCACCTGCTGCTTCAGCACATCCCTGGACCTGGATACAAACTTATCAAAGTTTATTGTTGAACCTGAAGGCCAGGAGGTCCAGCCAAATTGCCAAAAATACCAAGAAATTGATGGGAGAAGAAATTCCTTTGACAACAAAGTCCGATTCACCAACAAAGGAGCCATTTAAGCAGGGACCACCTGGTCTGTGGCACCGATTGAATCAATTTGTCCAGAGACAAACTAACTTGTCCCAAGATAACAGACTGGACCTTAGAGAGATGTCTTGGGTGAGGCCATTATCAACCCCAAGACCTTCATGCAGAAACAGCTTCTGGATAAAAAAAAAAAAAAAACAGACTTGAGACCTGAGAATCTGATGTTTCTCTTTGGCAATAAAAGCTTCAGCCTGGGAAATGTCCAGAAGATGTCCCTGATATTCCAGGTGATGAGTTGGAACCAAGAGTTTCAGGATCCACACGAAACTCTAACATCTGGATAGTCAGACTGTGTACCACTCCAGGTTTGTGGCACCACTCCAAGCTAAAACAAGGGGAGATGGGAAGAGGAAGCAGCATCCAAGATTGGTTCTAGTGACATCTATGTAGTGGAGAGAAGGACGCCACTCTGACCAGCCCAGGGAGTCTGGTGTGTGTAAAATGGCCTCAGCCACCACTCCGACCACGCTCTCTGACATGTTTCGCCCCACCCACCGGGATTTAATCACAGAGGCTGAATAGTCAGACACATTGTCCTCCAGAGCCCTCGAAGACCATTCCCTTAACAGGAAGTCATACAGGTATCCCAAAACATGAAGAGCCTGAGAAGGTAAATACTGAAGCCAGCAACTTGATGACCCAAAGTAAAAAAAGAGACCAAATGGATAGGCCACAAAAACTGGTAGTATAGGAGGACCTGCAGCAAAAAACACAGGAAGTGTTGGTGAGCTTGAAAGATAGATGTATGCAAGTAGGCATCTTTTATGCCCACCAAAACCAGGAAATCATTCAGGTGAAGAGAAGCAATCACAGATCTGATTAATTCCATCTAGAATTTATCAGGGGCAAAATGTACATTCAGGGCCTTGAGGTCTAAGATGGGGCAAATGCCCAATTTCTGTTTTGAGGCAGTGAATAGATTGGAGTAAAACCCCTGAAATCTTTTCTGCTACAGAAACTGGGGCTATGACCCCCCTGACACAGCAATTCAGAAAGTACCAAATGGAGGACAGCAAGTCATTGAGGGTATATAGGGAATGCACTCATGCAGGTGAGTGCTCTGTGTATTTAGTAACTTTGGAGTGCCAGACCTTATGCCTGGATACAGGACCACCCTTGGGGGAGGGGGGCTCAATGTAGAAGCTGAGAGCAAACTGAAGCAAAATGATTCTTGCCAAGGGCAGATGGAGATGACTTTGCAGTCTGCTTTTTAGGCTTCTTCTATTGGGAAAGAAGAGTGTTTTTGCCCCAGTAGCATTCTGCTTAACAACATCTGAAGTCGATCTGCGGACTGTGAAGGATAAGCTCTCCTCTAAGTAGTCAAATGACTTGAGTGACTCAGTCTCTGCAACCAAAGGCTCAGTTTGCCGACTATGCAATAATGTTATTTTGCCTATTCTTTTTTCCCCTGAATATTGGAAATGTGTTGTTTCAGTAGTAGCTCAACTGTCACCTGAATCTCACATATACTTTATTTCAGGTACTTATATAGTGCGGTCAGTTTACGCAGCGCTTTACATTAATATATTGTTCATAACATCAGTCCCTAACCCTCAAGGGCCCTACAATCTAATGTCCCTAACTCACATTCATACATACACATACTAGAGCCAATTTAGATAGGAGCAAATTAACCTACCAGCAAGTCTTTTGAGTGTGGGAGGAAACCGGAAGAAACCCACACAGGCACAGGACAACATGCAAACTCCAGACAGGTGGTGCCGTGGTTGGGATTCAAACCAACAAGCCTAGTACTGCCAGGCAGAAGTGCTAACCATTTAGCCACTGTGCTGCCCCTTGTACTACTTTAATTTCCTTTGAAATGTTAAAAAGGAAATTGTGGAACATACATATCACCATTTAATGAATGGAAAAAAAAAAAAAAAAAAAAAAAAAAAAAAGAAAACCACCAAACTTCTTACCAGGGTGCATAAAATTCAACAAGGATAATATCTGCATCATCCACAACTTCATCAAAGTTTTCTCCAGTTAAGACAATTGTTGCTTCAGGGGGCAATGTCCAGTCTGGATGGGATATCTCCTTTACTCTTTCCACAATTGCTGCAAAACAACATCATCAGTAGCTTTGGGTTTTAGTTTAAATTTTTATATATATATATATATATATATATATATATATATATATATATATATATAAATAAAAATAAAATAAATTGTGCTTAACTCTGTAAAATCTATTTTTGATGAGGTACATAGCACAAACTTTCCAATACACATGGGTTATGCTGCTGCCTACAGAAGGATATGGACATAATGGGACCAATTTGCTAAAAGATGCAGATTGGGCATTGGTACTTTACTTTTCTGAAAAAATATCTAGGATATATGAACTGCACATTCAACATGTGTAAAAGTTAGTTCTTAACTCCTTTAGTAAATCAGCCTCAATGTTTGACAAAAAAAAAAAAGAAAAAAAAAAAAAAAACAACAACAACAACTTACAGTAGAGTTACTTTGGATTCAAGTCCATGTCTCCCCAAAAACACACAGACTCTGGGAACTGGAAGACCAGGATACAGATTTGGTGTCTCTGTGCCCAAACCAGCATGGGCTGCTTCAACCGCCTTCTAAACTCAGAGCAGCTCAAAACAACCTGATGCTGAGGTCTCTTGCTGTAATCAGTGTATTAAGGTGTGATGTGTTTACCATTGTGTCTCTCCCCCACTGTTAATTAAGTTGAGTCTACTATTGTTTGTCTGTTGGCTAGTACTCCTGGAGCAGGGATGTGCAAATTATATTGCCCGACGCCCTGGACATGCAGTTCAAGGAGCTGGGCAGGCGGCCTTCTTTTACGGTTAGCCCTGCTGTGCGCAAGCAGCAGGGTTTACCTTTTTTTTCCCCCTCCAGGCGATTCCCATTTTAAGCAGAAGTGATCAAGTCATTTCTGCAAGTGGCAGAAAGCCCTTCCATCCCCCCGAAGTCCTGTTGCAGATCCTTGTATGATGTCCACGCTGCACCGGCCCAGGGAGAGTTCCATATGGATGGAGGAGATCAGAGCCGCGGGAGACTAGCTCCGGGGCCATGTCTACCTACTGAACTAGAGAAGGAGGAAGAGAGCCGGGATGAGGAGGGGAGAGACAGCGACGTCCGCTGGAAAAGACCTCCACCAGGACAACATGGCTTCACCTCCACCTGAGAGACAGACTCCTGGACCGGCCCTCACATCCACCAGCAGTTAGTGGCCCCCTACCTAGTGCCCGAGACGCCTCCCCCCTCACCTGTAGTGGCCCCTAATAATACTTCTACTGGGGAGACTGATCACTAACCCTCCAAACCTATATGGGGGGGGGGGGGGGGGGGGGGGGGGGGGAACGTCTCTGACCCCATATATCACTTATGCTGCAGAGGAAGATGACACCTACCTGATACCCCTTATATAACATCTGATTTTTTTTACAGTTAGTCGTTACTCTTTTTTTTGCAACAGTTATTCCCTTCTAAGCAGAAGTGATTCAAGTGATTCCAGTGGCAGAAGGTTGCCCCCCTCGTGCCTTTCCTGGGATCTCCTGTCCAATCGCAGAGCCCAGGAGTGCTGCGGCTGACAACAATCGTGTCACTACACAGAGACAGAGGAACCAATGGTGTTCCTCCCTCTCTGATAGCCTGGAAACAAAAAGGTTCTTTGTTTACATGGCATTAAATGAAAGAAAAAAAAAAAAAAAAAACCAACAACAACTTTTTAAAATTAAAAGCACCCCTATTCCCTCGTGCTTACGCACAAATGTGAACGCGCATGTAATTCCCGCACGCAAATGTAAACAGCGATCACACCACACTTGTGAGGTATTGTCGCAAACTTCAGAGAAAATAAATAATAATTCTAGTGCAAGACCTCCTGTGTAACTCTAAACAGGTAACCTGTAAAAAGGTGTTTAAAAGCGTCACCTACTGAGAATTTGAGGTCCCCTAGTTTGGCGTCATTCCACAGGCATGCGCAACTTTCAAGTGTGACATATTTGGTTCGGTATCTTTTTACTTGGTGTAACATCTTTTACATTAAAAAGTTGTGTAGTATATTGTGTTTGTATGCAATAAAATTCACTAAAAAGGTATATTTTCCCCCCCAAAAAAGGTGTTTGAAAAATCGATGTGCAATTACCGTGAGACATAAAAATTATGGCGATTAATGGAGCGGACACCGGATCTTGATTTGGCTTCTCAGCATTCATTTGTGTTGAGCGCGCCCAAGTACTGCCGTGTGCGAGGCCAACCTGATTTTTTTTTTTTTTCTTCCTTAATTTCTCATGGGGCCGGCGCCTGATTTACTCGATCAGCAGACGCACTTCTGCTAAGTGTAAAGAGAGCCCAACACTCCCATTTCCTGAAGAGCACTCAATCGGGTGCTCATCACACTGCAGGGTTTCACCCCTCCCTGCTAGTGAGGAGAAGGTGAACAGCACAATTTTTAAAAAAAAAAAAAAAAAAAAAAAAAAAAAAAAAAAAAACACATGAAATCACCAAAAAAGCCCCTTTCATGTTTAAAAGCCCCAGACATTCCTAAAAGCACCTCAACCCTTCTTCCGATCAATAAAAATACCTTATTTAAATACAGTTTTAGTTAAAAATATCCATTTTTTTTCCAGGACAAGTAGGATTGTCATGGAGGGACAAGTAGATTGGGACCCCGATTTGGTCCCTCGGACAAGTTTTTTTTTTTTTTTTTTTTAATTTCCACACCCCTGCTGGGAGGTTCCTACATGATGGGATTAGTCCTGTGTCAACTTGACCTTGTTACTTAATCAGTGTGGGATGTTTATCCCAATGTGTAGTGGTTTGTTTTTATTGCTCATATGGGGACTGGCCCTATTTCTGAAGTATATAAAAACCTGAATTTCTGCTCAATAAAAGAGTTCCAGCTTGCACCTAAGCTAGCATCGTCTAGTTCTTGGGTACAATGCCCAGCTATAATACCTTTGTCCTGTGTCCCAGCGGTGAGGAAGCAGTTCTCTGATGGAAGCATCCAGGCAAGGTGCCAGGTGGTCCGTTGCATTTGGTTGACAGCAGCGGGATGCAAGTGCTGCACAGAGGACCAGCCATATGCAGGTCCTGCTGGGATGGTATGATTCTGTCCGCTGGCAACTCTGGAAGGAAGAGCTAGATCGAGAGCTTCGCCGCCAGAGAAAAAAAAATTCTCTCCATCTGACAAAAGGTACTGCTTGCAGTACAAAAGTACAGGTGCAGTCATTGCGGGAACAACCACACGAATAGACATACGGAATAGACAGCCGAGTTAAGCAGGCTGGTCCTGAAAGATACAGCTGGACAAGAGCTACAGAGCCCTCCACTGGTATGTAGCTCAAGTGTGCCCTTGGACAGCGAATGACCGACCGATGGAAGGCTTTGGCTGTTCTGGAGGCTGTCAGAGGACCCAAACTTTGGGAGTGATCTGCAGTGGCATTTGGAGGAAATCATGGATTACAGAGACCAGATGCTGAACATTTTGGAAGTGCTTTGGGCACAGGAAGATTTAGAGTTTCTAGCCATTCAGAAATGGGAGCTGGAAACCGCATACAGGCGGCTGCTAGACTCTGCTCAGCAGCAGGGCTCTCTTTGCCTGGGAGTATTGGGAAGTACCAGCCAACAGCTCTGAAATCCCAGATGAAGTGTCGGCAATGGAGCAGAGTAACTGTGAGCTCGGATTCAGCAGTGACTTGGGCTTTACAGTTAAAAACAGGAATTTGAGCTGTAACAAGATTAAAAAAAAAAAAAAAAAAAAAAAAAAAAAAAAGACTGTTCGACGAAGCTCAATAGTATGCCCCAGTACCCATGGATGTTATGGATTAGGAGTCACCAGCAGAAGCGCTGGCATCAGGCAGAGCATTGCCAACCTCTGTCCAGCACCTTCAGCAGCTCCAGGAAGAGGAGAAAGTGAACCTCCATCCGCCACCAGCTCCAGAGACTGGGACTTTAATAGACTTTTCTGCTGAGGAGGAACAACCCAATGAGCCTCCAACAGAAGAGATGGCATTGAGGCAGAGTGCTGCTGACCTCTTCCTACAACAATCAGTGGCCCTGGAGGATTTGTGCAAAGCCAACAATTTTCATTTTACTTTCCAGCGGAAGAGCTGGCATCAGAGCAGAGAACCACTAACTCTACCCAGCACCAACAGCACTTCTGGAGCTCAAGGGAGCCAGGGCGGGCAGCCCTTCTCCCCAGCAGCAGACCAAGACAGTGAAACTCCTAACCCCAGCTGAAGCGCTGGCGGCAGGACAGAGTACCGCCAGTCTATGTCCTGTTAGTAGGGTCTACTACCTCTGCCCAACACCTAGAGCAACACGGGAACCTCAGGGAGAAGTAGCCAGTGTTTCTTCTCCCCCAGCGGCAGATCCACAGTGCGGAAGTGGAGATGATCATCCTCCCTCTCCAGCAGCAGTGTTTGGACGCAGGAAGTCATCCTCGCGGAACAGCGGGAGTCCAGGAAATGGAGCAACTGACTCATCTCTCCACAGTCCGGGAAAGAAGGTGGCAGTCCTCCTTCCCCAAAAGTTAGTCAAAGCAGAGGATGTGATGTGTTTACTGTGGTGTCTAGCTCCCACTGTTGAGTCACCTATTGTTTCTGTCTGTCGGCAGGCCCTCTTGGAAGTTTCTACATGATGGGATTAGTCTTGTGTCAATTTGGCCTCGTTATCCCAATGTGTAATGTTTCTTTTCATTGTTCATGTAGGGACTGTCCCTATTTTTGAAGTGTATAAAAATCTGAATTTCTGTTCAATAAAAAAAAAAAAAAAAAAAAGTGTCAAGGTTGCACCTAGTGATGTCTAGTGCTTGGGTGCAATGTCCTGCTATAATTCCCTGGTCTTGTGTCCCAGCGGTGAGGAAGCAGTTCGACAGAAGCACCTTGGTGGGGTGTCAAGCAGTCTGTCACAATCAACATGTATATACAGTGGGGCAAAAAAGTATTTAGTCAGCCACCAATTGTACAAGTTCTCCCACTTAAAAAGATGAGAGAGGCCTGTAATTGGCATCATAGGTTGACCTCAACTATGAGAGACAAAATGAGAAAAAAAAAATCCAGACAATCACATTGGCTGATTTGGAAAGTATTTATCTGCAAATTAAGGTGGAAAATAAGTAAGATTTCTGGCTCTCTCAGACCTGTACCTTCTTCTTTAAGAAACTCCTCTGTCCTGCACTCATTACCTGTATCAATAGCACCTGTTTGAATGTGTTATCAGTATAAACGACACCTGTCCACAACTTCAAACAGTCACACTCCAAACTCCACTATGGTGAAGACGAAAGTAGTTGAGGTCTACCTATGGTGCCAATTACAGGCCTCTCTCATCTTTTTAAGTGGGAGAACTTGCACAATTGGTGGCTGACTAAATACTTTTTTTGCCCCACTGTAAGTCAACATGAACATAAGTGGTCCATATGGTAGTTATTCACCTTAAAATCATCAGAGGACACAGGGGGGCACTCTTTAAATCTGCAGGAAGAGATTTAAATCTTCAAATACAGAAAGGTTTCTTCACAGTAAGAGCTCTGAAAATGTGGCACAGACTCCCTCAAGAGATGGTTCTGGCCAGCAAAGTAGATTTTTTTTTTTTTTTTTTAAAGCAAAGGCCTGGATTCTTATCTAGATTCACAGAATACATTGCTCAAAAGGATTAAAAGGAACACTTTGAAAACACGTCAGCTCTCAATAGGGAAAAAAGGATCATGCTGGATATCTATACTGATATGGACTGGGTAATTTTAGGAACGCAAGAATGCCCCAATCGTTTGAATTAATTCCTCTGTAGGTTTATAAATTTTCATTTCCATCAGACACCCCCCCCCCCCCCCTGAAAATCAAAGAGAGTATAATGATGCAGGCTAGTCCATTTTGCTGAAATGTCATTGTAGCAATTCAAAATGGTACTCAGTAGTTTGTATGGCCCCTACATGTTTGTATACATGCCTGACAACATCGGTGGAATGTTTCTAATGAGACAACAGATTATGTCCTGGGGTATTTCCTCCCAAATCTGGACCAGGGCATCACAGAGCTCCTGGGACAGTGTGAAGTGCAACCGAAACGTGATATCCCTGAGGTGTTCTATTGGATTTAGGTCAGGCGAGCGAGGGGGCCCATTCAATGGTATCAATTCCTTCATCCTCCACGAACTGCCTACATACTCTCACCACCACATGAGGCCGGGCATTGTCATGCACCAGGAGGAATCTAGGCCCCACTGTACCAACGTGGGGTCTGAAAATGGGCCCAAGGGTTTCATCCCGATACCTAATGGTAGTCAGAGTGCCATTGTCTAGCCTGTAGAGGTCTGTGCATCCCTCCATGGATATCCCTCTCCAGACCATCACTGACCCACCAGCAAAACAGTCATGCTGAATGATGTTACAGGCAGCATAACATTCTCCACAGCTTCTCCAGACCCTTTCACGTCTGTCATATGAACTGAGGGTGAACCTGCTCTCATCTGTGAAAAGCACCGTGCACCTAAGGCAGACCTGCCAATTCTGGTATTCAATGGCAAATGACAATCGAGCTCCATATGCCGGGCAGTGAGGACAGAGTCCACTAGAGGACGTCGGGCTCTCAGGCCACCCTCATGAAGTCTTTTTGATTAGAAACAAACATTCACACCAGTGGCCTTATGAAGGCCAATTTGTAGGGCTCTGGCAATGCTCATCCTGTTCCTCCTACAAAGGAGCAGATACCGGTCCTGCTGATGGGTTAAGGACCTTCTACAGCCCTGTCCAACTCTCCTGAGAAACTGCCTGTCTCCTGGAATCTCCTCCATGCTCTTGAGACTGTGCTGGGAGACACAGCAAACCTTCTGGCAATGGCACGTATTGATGTGCCATCCTGGAGGAGTTGAACTGCCTATGCAACCTCTGTAGGGTCCAGGTATAGCCTCATGCTACCAGTAGTGACACGGATTCTAACCAAATGCAAAACTAGTGAAAAAAAAAAACAGTCAGAAAAGGAGTAGGGAAAAAAAAAAAAAAAAAAAAAAAGTCAGTGGCCTCCACCTGTAAATCTTGATTTGGGGGTCGTCTCATTGTTGCCCAGCTAATGCACCTGTTAATCAATTTCAGCTGGTTTTGGTGTTAATGAAATTAACAATCCCCTCTGCTACTTAACGGACCAGATCAATATCCCAGGAGTTTAATTGACTTGATGCTATAATCTGATTAAAAAAAGTGTTCCTTTAATTTTTTTGAGCAGTGTATAACTGGATACTAACATTTATAGGTAAAGTTGAACCAGGGAATATACGATTGCCTCTTGGGGGGGGGGGGGGGGGGGGATCAGGAAGGAATGCTTTTCTCTTACAGGAGCAAACTGCATCATGCTTCGATGGAGGTGTTTGCCTTCCTCTGGATCAACTGTGGGCATAGGATATAAAATGTTTTCCTTTTCCTTTTATGGTTGAACTAGATTGGCTTGTGTCTTTTTTCAGCTAGACTAACTATGTATGTAACATTGGCAGAAGTCTTCCGACCCTTTGCAACACTTGAAATTGGGTGCCTCCCATTTCTCTTGACTGTGGCCGAGACGTTTCTACACCTTGATTGGAATCAACTTGTGCCAAGTTAAATTGATTGGACATAGTTTAGTTTGGAAAGGCACACCTTTATAAAAAAAGGTCTCACAGCCAACAATGCATACTGTATCAGAGCAAAAAGCCATGGAGGTCAAAAGGAACTGCCTGCAGCGCTCAGAGACAGGATTATTGCAACACACCAATTTGGGGAAGGCAAAAAAAAAAAAAAAAAAAATATCTGATGCACTGCAGGTTCCCAAGAACATAGTGGCCTCCATAAATTTTCAAATGGAAGAGGTTTGGCACAATGTTTGCACACACCTGAATCCTGCAATCTGTACTTAATACACATTCCTTGTATTTAATGTCCCTTTAAAGACCCTCCTACTGTTAGTGCAGGAGAGGATAATGCTGCCTCCTGAATCTGTTTTTTTTTTCAAGCCAAACTGGAAACTGGCATTGAACAACCATAGCAATGATGCCGTCTGTGAAACTTGACATGTCGAGTTAAAAATTGCCACGCTCTAAAGACAAGCATCAAGGACATGTCAACGTGTACTCACCCTAGCAGCTGCTATGTTCATTTAGAGGTAGGTGGTCAGAAGTTTTTTTATTCACCCTCTTTTAGGTCACTCCCACTATCAAGACTCAAGCTGGTCATGCCCATTGCTCTCTTTGCCGTGCATAACTTGTTCTTCAACTACATGCCAGCAGGGTGGCTGATAAATTGTCATGCTGTGTTGACTTTTGAAATGTAAAACCAAGTCAATTAGCAGTTATGGGTATTGCCAGAGTTTACAGATTGTGTTTTATATGGATTAAATATCAATTGTTTTAGTTTCTAATAGGAGTTCTGTTATTTTTTTTTCAGCTGGTCAGAAAAAAAAAAAAAAAAGGAAGGTTGCAGGAGGTTGGGGCAACCCTGATTGCAAGATTTCCTGCCAGTGAGATTCAACAGCAGATGCAGAGAATAAAACATGCCGGATAGCTAGGAGAGGTTATAATTAAGGTTGCTACAGTTGCTTTTGTTTTGCAGTGTCCGATCCTCCTGATGGCCACATTATAGCCCAAAATATTTTTTTTTGGGCCACAATGAAAGATTATTTTAAGCGTTATGAAGAGCGGATACATTTGTATGTTTCCTATTTGTATATGTAAAGCAGACATTACCACAATAATGAGCAATGCCTCCTCTTACTTGTCAATTTATCATGTATTAGGAAAGTATTGGAGTTTAAAATTTAAACACAATAGTCAAGTTACTTTTCTGTTGTCACAACAAAAAGCAAAAAATGTTGACATCAAAATTTTGTTTTCTTTTTTTTAAAAACAGTTTATGAGTGAAGCTTACTCTCAAGCTTTTCAAGTCAATTGCATGTTAAACTGATGTTTTACTTACCTTTTTCTGTTCGAGGACCATCATAGTCAATAGGCTGGCCTTTCTTTAGGATTTTAATTGTGGGATAGCCACCAATGTCATATTTTTCAGCAACTTTTGACGCTTCTGTCGCATCAATTTTTGCAACTGGAATCTGTGGATCATTGTCCTTTAGTGTCTTTGCAATTTTTTCATATTCAGGAGCAAACTGCTTACAGTGGCCACACCTAAAAAAATATAATCATAAATTAATTTTGCTTCATTCTTAAAAAGCTGATCCTAAAAGGAGTATTTTGCAAAACTGAAAAAAAGTGCCATAAAACATAGTTACAGAGTTAATCTGGCTGAAAAAAGAAACAAAAGTCCATCCAGTTCAACCATTAAAAAATAAAGTTAGAATCCTACACCCGCAGTTGATCCAGAAGAAGGCAAAAGAAAAAAACCCCAGCAAAGCATGATCTAATTTGCTCCTGCAGGGGGAAAAAAAAAAAAAAAAAAAATTCCTTTCTGACCCCCAGAGAGGCAATCGGATATTCCCTGGATCAACTTTACCTATAAATGTTGTATCCAGTTATATTCTGTGTATCCAAGAAAGAATCTAGGCCTTGTTTAAAGCAATCCACTGAGCTGGTCAGAACCAACTCTTAAAGGAGTTTATTCCACTTCTCTTACTGTGAAGAAACCTTTCTGTGTTTGGAGATTACATTTCTTTTCCTACCCCCCTTGTCCTCTGTGATGTCCTCAGGGTGAATGACTCTACACAGAGTTCACTATATGAACTACTGATGTATTTATACATGTTGATCATATCCCCCTTTAAATCTCCACTTCTCAAGAGAGAATAAATTCAGTTCCTCTAATCTTTCCTCATAGCTGATCTCCTCCATGCCTCTTATCAGTTTGGTTGCCCTTCTCTGTACTTTCTCCAGTTCCCCAATGTTCTTTTTGTGAATTGGTACCAAATATTGAACTTCATATTCCAGATGAGGTCTTACTAATTATTTGTACAGGAGTAACATGATATCTCTCTCTCTGGAGTCTATACCTCTTTTAATACAAGAGAGGATTTTTCTCGCTTTAGAAGCCGCAGCTTGGCATTGCATGCCATTATTAAGCTTGTGATCTACCAGAACTCCCAGATCCTTCTCCACCATTGATTCCCCCAGTTGTACTCCCCCCTAGTATGTATGATGCATGCATATTCTTAGCCCCCAAGTGCATAACTTTACATTTATCAACATTAAACCTCATTTGCCACATAGTTGCCCAATTAAACAGTGCATTGAGGTCGGCTTGTAAATTGAAGACATCCTCTAAGGACGTTATTCCACTGCACAGCTTGGTGTCATCTGCAAAGACTGAAATTGTATTTTTAATCCCAGACCCTATATCGTTTATTAATATATTAAAAAATAAGGGTCACAACACGGAACCTTGGGGTGCACCACTGACAACCATAGACCATTCAGAGTATGAATCATTAACCAGAGTATGAAACATGTGACTGTAAAAAAGAAAAATACCTCTCCTGCTACTCCTGTACACCATTCCAATCAGTTAAGTTATTTGAGGCTGCCATTTTCTGTTAAGTGATGTCCACTTATGGGACGTTTTGTCTCAATACCCATAGTGAACATGGAATCAGTTGGTTAAAAGGATAAACAAAAAAAGAACAAATAAAAAGAATTTGAAGAAACCTTTTAAACAAAATATAGTGTTTAAAAAGCAATTTGAAAATTGTGGAAAGCCAAAATTATAGCAAAAAAAAAAAAAAAAAAAAAAAAAAAAAAAAAAAAAAGGTTACAAAGATAAATTATAAAATATGGTCCACTTCTCCATAACTCTCCCCCCCCATTCTGACATTCTCTCCACCACCACCACCCCCCCCCCCCCCCCATTCTGACATTCTCTCCCCCATCTTCCCTCATACATCATTTTCCCATTTCTCTGCACAATATGACACCCTTATACTTATAGCCATGCAATAGTTGCCCTTCCTTTATATGCCCAGCTTGTGCTCGGTGTATTGAAGAGACTACCATTAACGATACATACTGTATCGAAGATGTGGTGAAATTAATACTAATGAAAAAATAATCTTTGCTGTAAAATTAATCATTGAAAACCTGCAATACAATGTTACTGTAAACACAAAAAAAAAAAAAAAAAAAAAAAACAAATACCAAAATAGACAATGATTTTACAATAAACACAGACAGTAGAAACAAATGGGGGGATAATAGAAAACCACCTGGGCTGCTTACACATAGATTTGCAAACAAAATCCCCTGTTTTTAATGTGCATTTTTAGGGTCAGCTTGGCTGTTTTGCTGGCTGGCAAGTGTGCTGGGAAATCCTTTGATTATTTGTAATGCGTGTTGTTGTTCAATGTGCACAGTAAGCAAAGCCTAGTTGTACATTGCATGTCTCTTCTGTAAGGGCTCATGTACACTGCAGCTGATAAAACTCACGTTTAGGAGCTGTTCAGTGTTTTTTTTTTTTCAGCAGCCCCTGAACTCCCCCTAATGTTTTCCTATGTGTCCATGTACACATCTTCATTTACAGTCATTTGAGTTTACAGTCTTTTTTTAATGCAGAAAACTTGCGTTCAGCAGTCAATTTTATCAGCGTTTCAAACGCAAAATGCTTGTAAACGCAGCTAAACGTGGCAAATCGCGTTTATAATTTTTTTTTAACTCTTCCAGTTTCCGATGCTGTCCAGAGAATTTTTTCATCATGAAAAATGCATACAAAGCGTTTGAGGGACTGGGATGGACAAAACACTGAAAACAGGATGTTCCCACCAAGCTTGCACACATGGTAGTGACCAATTCACACCTCAGACCTCTCCCACCCTTGAAAACAAAAGATATGTTAATGACCATTCACACAGCA